TTGTACTTCTTTTTCCCATAAGGACGGCGAATGCCAAAACTCTTGTCAAATGTATTGAAGATTCTGTATTTCTTGTGTATGGAGCTCCACAATTCCTTATTTGTGACAATGGCGTGCAGATGCGCAGTAGACTTTTCTTAGATCTGTGTGAAAGCTACCGTGTAAAGGTTCGGTTTACTCCTTTTTATCATCCACAGGCTGATCCTGCGGAGAGGGTGAATCGTGTGGTAAAGCAATTGATAGCCACTTACGTTAAGAACAATCACAAACATTGGGACGTTCATTTAGCTTCGATAGCTTGTGCTCTTCGAACTTCTAAGCACGAAACCATAGGTGTGACTCCCTATCGTGCTAATTTTGGGAAAGAATTTCGTATTCGAGGGGACAGCTTCGACACTGACATGACGGACAATGAGCCGATTGACGTAGAACAACGGTTAGCGCAACAGCAAGGACTGTACGACAAAATTATTGCACGCATTAAAGACAGTCATGACCGCAACAAGCAACATTATGACTTACGACGTAGGCATGTTAACTATGAGATAGGAGATTTGGTTTGGCGTAAAAATAAGACTTTGTCTGATGCCACTAAAGATTATTCAGCGAAGTTAGCTCCCAGATTTTTAGGACCATTTACGGTTAGCCGTAAAATGGGGTATTTGACCTATGAGTTGAAAGATTCTAATGGTAAATCTTCTGGAACGTGGCACGTCCAGGATCTCAAACCTTATATTGAACCCGATGATCATGGTTAGACATTTATTGTCGCCGGATTGCTTGTTTGTTGACGATTTTGAACCACTAATTTTGACGTATTCTTATTCTTGGATTTGACTTTGATATATGTATTTATATGTTATATGTTCCATATTTCTTCCTCCTTCTTTCTTTTTCTATCTGCACCTCAAACACTTTTCTTCTTCTAATTTCCTCAGGGGAAATTTGGGAGAGGTTGCCCTTTTCTTTTCACTTTCCTATTTTTCTATCTTTTTCTACTCTTCTTTCTTCCGTTCCACAGAGTGTATGTTCGTATGAATGGATGTATGAGTGATACACAAGAGGAAGGGGGTGGGTGCGCCTTCCCTGTGCGAGCCTCGGTGACCATGGGACCCCTGGAATCGGCATGAATGAGTTTTTTTTTTCTCCGCAAATGTGATTTCTTCTTTCTCTCTTACTGTCTTCTATCCATAGCACCTTCTTCATTTCATTGCGCTAGTGCATGGTGGAGTTGGGTTGGAAAGGTACCTTCTTTTTGGGGGTTTCCTTCTACACTTTTTCGGCAAGGGGGTCAAAATTTGGGCTTTTGTGTCGTTTTTAGTCAGGGAGGGGGGTTTCTTTATTTTGGGGATTTTGGTGCTGCATCACTTGAAACTGTAGGGTTTCTTTCTTCTGGGTGGGCACTGGATTTGGTTTTCTTGGGGGTGACTAGTAGTTGGATTGGGTTGTGGGAAAGGGGTTGCTATTGTCATGATACCCGACGGCGCGAGATTCCATCTTTACGCGAGGGCATGTCAATACCCGATTTTGCATACCTTTTCCGCTGCTGGAGAACCTGGGAAAATTCTTTGAAGGTGAAATTCTTTGGGGGGGAGTTTTTTTTACACTGGGGTGGGTTTTCGGGTTTTCAATTTGTTTGCTTCCTTTTCGAGTGTGTGTGCTGGGTTTTTCGATCGTCGGAAAACTTGTAGTTTCCCTCCTGTCGAAGGAGAGGGGGGGTGTAACAGTTTAGTTTATTTATATTCAAATTTCAAAATTACCGCTTGCTACGTTAGGCAGGATATAGGTGAGATGGCGCCACTTGTACGCGTGCTTCTTTCCTCGCGCAGAATCGCGTTAATTTTTCACTTCATTTCCGTTTTAAAGCCAACGAGGTTGTACTTGTAGAGCGTGGCATTGTGAATTCTTCTTAAACCAGTGGGTAATATTTGCCATCATTCACGTAAAATCTCTGGCAATTTTACCTGTTTATTGGCGTTGTCGAGTAGAGTAACTCAGAAGCCGTTTTCTCCGTTGTGAGGCTATATCTGGTGGAAGTTCATCGCCCTACCTACATGTAAGTGAAATGGCGTTGGCTTTCTTTTACGTTATGTTATCTAAAATTCTTTCAGATTCACAACCTCTTGGATAATTTCCATATTTCATTGATTTAAGTATTTTTCATTACCCTCCTGACGATTTCAGGTATGTTATTAAAAATCTCGTTAAGGGAGTGTTACATCTTCATTACTTTTAGGGGGTCCATGTAGTAGATGAATTCTTGTACCGATCAATCCATGTAGTAGACGAATTCTTGTACCGGTCAATCCATGTAGTAGATCAATCCTTGTACAGACGAATCCTTGTATGTAAATGAATTTGCATCTTGCGAATATTCCGGAGTACGAACACCTGTTGATTGCCGGCAGCTATCCGGCGTACCACCGAGTAGATAAGCGCTAACACCTAAACGATACCGGGAGCGACCAGCTGATTGTGGAATTTTCGGAAGATACGATCTTTTACACAACCTTTTTTTATTTGCTTCAATACCGTTAATCTAGTGTAACCTTCCGACGATTTATGATTGGAGCTTTGTATTTTGTTCGCATCAAGTGTTTGAGGTCGTGACTCTCTTCAAGAGCAACGCACCTGTATTTAACGTATGGGTAAACGAGCCGGCTACGAGTAAGCTATTTTTGGCCCTTCCGGCTCATATAATCGTTCCGAGCGTTGTAGCTTGGGGTTTGTTTTTTGTGTTACAGAACTGGAACTTCGAAGGAGAGCTCTTTTTCGGAGAAGACAGCGTATGTGTTATTCAAGGTAAGATTTTTAATTTACTTGTACCCAGTGTTGCCTATATGAGTTGTTATTCGGGTTAACTTAATTCAATCTTTGAATCCATTGAAATCTTAACTACATTTTTGCTCGATCATTGTTGTAGGGGTCTGGTAACGTAATTATTAGGGAAGTGTTCAGGAATTTATTTGGGGATTATTTTTGTCATTTAAAGTATTTGTTATTGTCGTATTGAAGATACATTTTATTTGCCGATCCTGCACCGTTTTTGTCAGGATTAATAAATCAGAATTGCTCGTAGTGAATTTATTATTTGGCTCTCTTGTGTTTTCCCAATTTCTATACAGGAGAGGTCAGAATTTGTGCAAAATTGGGTGGCGCTCAACTAATCATTTCTAGTAACTACCAAAGATCAAAAACTTATGTTATATGCCCAAACGAACAAACCGCTGTGGAAGATTCTCATCTCGAGCCCTTCTTTTAATTAAGAATCTGAGCTAGCTGGCCGTTTATGCGGCGGGGTTTGAGTTTTACAGCGCCGAACTAACCTCACGTTATATAGGCCTGATCTCAAAGCAAGCGCGCTTAAAAAACTTGAAGCCTGACATCGGTCCTATATTTTCCCGATGTCGAGGAAAGGAGTTTAAAAACAGTTTAATTTTAGTTTTGACTTTTAACCGAATAGTAAGTAAAGTTTTTGCTTTTGCAAATGGCGGTCGTTTGGCGCCCGCCATTTTTTCCAGCGAAAATACATTCCGCTAGAATAGTCAGTGGAAGGTGGGAGTAAAAGCGCGCATGTACCGTAACAGTTAATTGACAACCATATTCGTACTTCACCTCAGTTAATCGGTTGACATTTGGCGCTGGGAACAGCTGTGTAAGCGCTGAATACGGCTGAACGCGCCTATTGGAATTGGTTTTTAGCTATCATCTTTTGGCTACCGCTCTTTAACAAGGCGAGCTTCCGTTTCACTAATTATAAGGGGGGAAATATTTGCTTTCCCGTAATTGCTTTTCCGTCGCTTCCGCCAATTTGTGTTTTACTGCTTTCATTCCCGCTAGGGAGTCTGCCGTAATTTTGTTTTAGTTTTGCCGAAGTGACCGCCACCATTTTATGGGCCCGTCCTATTCCTGGCTTCCGAGACCGATTCGCAAGACCGCTGCTACCGCTCCCCTTCGACCAGGCGCAAGATTTTCCGCTTGGTGGCACCCAAATCTGTCCGTCCGTCCGTTTCTTGGCGCCGTTCCACCGTCTCCCGCCGACAAGTCAGGTTGCCGCCGACTGCCGCTGCTGTGTTTAATAAATGACTATTTCGCTAATATGCTTTCATTTTAAAAACTCAATTACTGTGCACGAGGTATCTCAGATCGTCGCACCCGTTACAATTGTTCCTCAATAGCGTGGTCGAATTAATGAGTACAGCCCTGAGATTTGGTTCTTTCATTTTACCCGTTACATGTTCAAATAATTTTCATTTATTTTGAGGAAGAACACATCAAGATGAGGCGTTTCAAACGATAACCTATACCTCTTATTAGGCCATGACTTATACAACGATAATGATGCGTCTCAATTTTTTAAAAAAATTTATCAAAGTCCTCGTATGAGATCGAACTATCGAAGGGACTTCAGCGCATTTTTGTGTGGCAGATCAGTATTCTATTGGCCACTTTTGACTCAACCATCAATGAAGATCTTGTCGAGGGCTACTACATTCACTTTGTCCGTACCCGCTTCCCACTTTCCGCGTGCACCCGCAATTCGCGTTTAAAGTTTTGACTCCATCCTCAGTAAAATCTTGTCGGGGACTACCACATTCCCTTTGACGGTACCCATTTCCGACGTCCCATTCAACCGCAATTCGCGTTTGAAGATTTGACTCCACCATTAGTAGGATCGTGTCGGGGACTACCACATTCCCTTTGACGGTAGGTACTCACTTCCGACGTTCCGTTCACTCGCAATTCGCGTTTGAAGATTTGACTCCACCCTCACGTTAGTAGACTACGCTCGAGGATGACGCCCAGATGTCTCCAACCCCACATCATGTAGCCCTGTCCCTAAGGTTGACAAATTACACGGCCTTGTAGATACACGTACACCCGTTGCCTTTCTACAAGAGTTCTTCTACGCGGCCACATTTGCTGCCAGCCAAAGTGAGATTAAAAGCTACTTTTTACAAATAAATTTGCAAAAATGCGCTAAAAAATGGTTGTTTTGGTCCAATCTATTTTCTGATTTATTTTGTCACAACTTAAGGCAGAAATATGCAATGAAAAATAGCCCCAAAAAAAAGACGTACGGGAAAAATGTCGTTTAAACTTTACTAGCATTCGCAAATAGTACTGTGTACTTCCAATATACTTCCTCTTCACCGTGCTCATTGATGAAAACCTTGTCGGCGCCTCGCATTACGTCACATTGATCAGAGACAAATTCATCTTCTAAGTGCTTGGGTATATTAACGTAGTTAATTGCCTTCAAGAGTCCTATAATGTTATTATTTGAGTACATTGCGAAAATCGATATCGAACGCACCCTCTGAATTTTCACAGCTAGCAGGCCATACTTTTCGTTGTTCAGTGCAGTGGGTAATATTGAAACCAACATCCCGTAAAGTGTTTTCAAAATATTGCTTGAAATTTCCACTATCTTGAAATGGACTCATTCTAAGTTTATAGTCGTGCACGTAAGAGTTCCACTTTTCCATTTTCGAAAGCTCCTCATAAAGTTCGAACAAATAGTGATGGGAAATTAGATTCACAAGTATATCTCCTTTTGGCTTTAACATTCGATGAATGTTTTCCATTGCTTTTCTAAGGTGCGTCGTATTTATGCAGAACAACGTGGTAAAAATACTCACCGAAGATCTGGTACAAAATGAAGACAGTAAAAAGAAAGTACATGATCAAAACTTTGCAGTAGATGAGAGGGAATGCTGCTGGTGCCGATATCTAACCGTTCAAATGAAATCCTGTCGTCATCTTGATGGAACTGTTTCGCAAAGTCGATCATATCAGAAGATATATCGACACCCATCAACTTTTTTGTGCTTTTCGGTAATAGTGGCAGTAATCCATACCTCGTTATGTCACCAGGTCCACATCCAACGTCCAGCACTTGGCAGTTTTCTTTAAAATTAAAATCCTTAAGATATCTTCTTTTCATGTACAAAAATTCTCTTTGTGATTGTAAATTAAACCTTAAGAAACGTACTGCTTGATTCATTTTTAACGATAGTCTGACCTTATTCAGAGATCTAATAAAGCATTTTGTAAACAAGCTACGCAATTCTTCCAGTGACCTTATATAATCGTTGTGATAATTTCCATTAGTTGGAGTTGTATTTTTAGACCTTTTTTTAAAGAAAACATACATCAGCGTAATACCTCTCTCTTTTCCAGTTTTGAAAGATGTCAAGAGTTAACAAAAAATGTCACTATATATAGCTTAACTAATATTACCAAGATATTACCAGTCATTGTTAGTTGAGCAGCGTGATCGATTTAAATAAATGTTTACCATAAAAGCGTTTTGTGGTTAAAGTACAGCATGTTGCCTTGCGCTATATTTGAAGTGGCTAGTTACGATAAAAAAACTAGTTTATTAATCGAAATTGTGCACTCCCGTGTATATGAGGAGTTAATAGATTCTGAATAAAACAACAACCGGTAAAAAGGTTAAAGACAATTAATGCGCGCTGTTGCTGGTTGTTAAAAGGGCCATAAGGGTGCCCACTGCAGAACACTGGTGAATAAGCAAAAATTCCGAAGTCTGGTTTTCTAAGCTGAGGGTGTGGGTGTGCCATCCGGCGGGAGTGGTGTTTCGGGTTCCTTATTGTTTGGAGTCTTTGGAGGTGGAGTTTGTATCATACTTTTGCCTAATTGAATTGCGGTGCCTAGCAGGGGAAGTCGGTACTCGCCGAGCAGTGCACCGCATCCTCTATTGGTATAGCTACCCCTAGCAACTGGATTGTGGTTAGCGGGGTTCTTGGACAGGTATTTTCTGTTTCTATAAAATAGACCCGTTGTGCCGGCCGGTTCTGCGTGTACCAACATTTTTTGGGCATTCCATTCTCCTCAATGACATACCCCTAGCTACCTTTACGGTCTGGTGTGTTCTCTTCCCATTAGCTAGGGTGACATCGGTTCCTGTATTGCTGAACTGGTGGCCGTGCTATTCCAATAGCCGTTGCAGTTCGTCCCTTCCGACGCCGACTCTGGCGACGGTGTCGAAGAAGACGATATAATTATGCTCTAATACGGATAGGAGAAAGAGTGTATTATTAAGTAGGTATTCTTTGCTTGCAGTTAGTTGTGCGGCGGGGCACCGTTGTGTTGAAACCAGCATAAATTACGTCGTGTTTCCAAATCTAACCCATCCTACATATCTTGAAATTCATTTGGTAGAAAGTGAAGACAGAATTGGCCTGTGCAATTTTCGTCGTAAATGAAAGGTACCTATCTCACTAGATATTGTTTTCCATGGCCAACTCTGTTCCTACTTACCTCTCAATAATACGAAAATTACTGCAGGGCGTTTATTTATTAAAGTACATTGAGCAAGCCTTATATCGTTAGAAAAATTTGTCCTTTTTAAAAATGTCAAAGCCAACTATGACTACCATTAAAAAAAATTAAAGTTTGTATTATAACTCAAAAATTGTAAGATCTAAAAATAAATTAGTATGTTCATGTTTTAAGCATTAAAATGTCTAAAACTTTTATTCGTGTCATTTTGTTGTATTTCTAATAATAACGATTCTACAACAGTTAAATGAAAAATCACTAAATCTGTTTTTCGCTCATATCTAGTGAACAGTGGATTTTTTTCAAAACACAAAAGCATATCTTAAATAAGCTCTTAAAACGACAACTCTTTCCTCATTTAACCGAATCCGTATGTCTTATGGTTTCCGAGATCCCAATGCTTATAATGAAAAGAAACTCACCCTGTATAATAATAATCAAGCCAAGTTTTCAAGTAACTCACGTGAAATGGTCCCCTACGGGCGCATGATACGGTAGCTTCAAGCACTGTGGTGGTCTAAGTTGAGGAGATGGTCTTTGTGCATTTCTGGTAGAAATTGTTTTGGAGAACGATTTATTGATGTCATGCGAAATATGCGCTTACATTGTACTAGCGTTTACAATGAGTAATGTATATTGCCAATGAACCTGTTCTTCTCCATATTCATCAATAAAAACTTTATCAGCGTTTCTAACTATGTTATACTGATCATAGACAAACTCATCTTCTAAGTACTTAGGTACATTAAGGTAATTAACTGCCTTCATAGTGCCTATAATGGTCATAGTTAAGCCAATCATACAGAGAAATAGTGGTCAAACGCACCCTCAAAATGGTCTCTCTGCTGTAAACCATTACCTTTCTCTCCTCAGTACAGTACCTACCTAACGTTAAAACCACCATTGCTTAAAGTGTTTTGAAAATATTCCTTAAAATTTACAGTATTTTGAAATTGATTCATTTTGCGTTTGTAGTCATGGACGTATGGTTTCCATTTTTCTACTGTCGAAAGTTGTTCGTAAATGTCGAACAAATAGTTATAGGAAAATAGGTTCGTAAAAAAGTCTCCTTTTGGCTTTAACATTCGATGAATGTTTGCAACCGCTTTTCTAAAATCTACAGAATTAGCTACGGTAACGTGGAAACAACACTTACCGAAGATCTGGTACATAATGCAGACAATAAAAGGAAAACGCGTGATCAAAACAATTATGGAAATGAGGGGGAATGCTGTCGGTGCAGATATCTAACTGTTGAAATGACACCCTGTCGTCGTCCTGATGGAACTTCTTCGCAAAGTCAACCATTTGAGAAGACAAGTCGATGCCCACCAGCTTCTTTGCAGTTTTTGGTAGTAGTGGCAATAGTCCATACCTTGTTATGTCACCTGGGCCGCATCCGATGTCCAACACTTGGCAATCTTCTTTAAAGTTAAGGCAACTAAGGTACTTTGTTTTCATGTATAAAAACTCGCGTTGTGTCTGAAAATTAAACCTCATAAACCAAGCTGGATGCTTCATTCTTGGATTTATGATTAGATTATGAACTGGTTTGCCATACGCAGTATCGGGATAAATGTTTACTTAGGCACTGATAGCGTATCAGTGCGAACTTTGACCTAGCAGCGAAATTATGATGGTCCTCATGCCTAAGTTAATAAAATCCGCCATCACCTTTGGTTCTTTCTCCTTACACATTACAAAATAGAGATACAGTAACCTATTGGCTAATCTTCTTCAAAGCGTGGACTTCCGAAATGTTAGCTATAAGACTCTAATTCTTTCAGTGTATTTTGTAGGTTTTTAAACTAAAGTCCTAGTGATTGTTGTTTGCCGATTCAAGTTACTCTACTCGAAATGGCTAATCAAATTATCGAAAAGGTGAGGATGCGTGGAGAGCGGGGAAAGAAAATAGAAGAACGCCATCAGCCACTTGCCCAAATTAAACAATGACTTAGTCGTCGTCGATGCTGAGTATCATCAAAAGAGTCTCGCAAGTGTTTACCATCCAATCAGCGCAGAAGAGAGCTTTCCGCCCATCGCCCAACGTTGATGTTTTGATTTTGATCAACAAACCAGGATACTTGGACTATTGGAAAAAGAAGTGCCTCACCTTGCCTCATGCAATCATTATAGCAGTGATGCCCAAATGTTTGTCTACCCTCCACCATGACTGCTATTTCCCTGTTTATCTACAAGAAGTGTTGCTCTAAACTTCTTCATTTCTATCTTCCAAGGGCTTTTCATCCTCTTAGGAAGAGAAGCCACCAGGCTAGCGTCGTACGTACTGCAAGCTGAAAGTGCCAAAGCCACCCGCAAACACTTTCAACATTTAAATTTAGAATTTTAGAATTTTTCCTTGCACACGTCCGGCATTCGCTATAAAGAAAAATCCTAATGTTGACACAATGGCGTCGATCAACTATCGACAATTTCAAAGAATTAACTAAACCAATTTTAACACCTGGCAATTCTTGGGCAACAATAAAAAAATCTTGACATGAAAACTCTATCTGGGCCGCACTTTGGGTTCGACTAATTAATTGACGAAGACAAAAAGTTATTCCGCAACACATAAAAGCAAGTAATACAACAATGCTAGAAGAAAGAAAGGCATTTAAAGCCTGTTTTTACACATGCCACGCACGCAGGCGTTCGACACACAATAAAATAAAGAACTCTTATTAATTACTTACAGTTTTTCGATAGTCTAATAAACCTGGTCGCAAACATTTTGGGATATTCAGCCGCACTTACACACTCTGACAGCTTCAGGAACTTCACTTCTTTTTTATTAAACTGGATCTTAATGACAAAAAACCAACTGGATTGTTGAATTAGATGTGAACATTTTGTGGCCCACCAGATAATTAGGAGTTCAACCTTATTGAAGGCGCTGAAACCAAAACAACGTCTGCAACAATACAAATATTTTGAAACACCTTCCACCATATTTTGTGTTCCTGATATGTTTCCTTCTACAAATTGTTGTATCAGTATCACAGGAACGCAAAAAAGTAAAAACAGAAAATAGTTTGCCCAACGGATTTCTAACATATCAGCTTCTGATACAAGTTTTCCGCCATAAATTATCTTAACAGGATCACAGTGTATATAAAAGCTAAAGTCAAACACTTTCTACCATATTTTGCGCCTCTGATATAATTATCCTTGGACCAATTCTCCTGTTAGGATCACAGGATTGTCTTTTTAAACTATCGTGCTCTTATAATACAAACTTTCTTCAAAAAAATTATTTCAAGATTCCAGGAACGAGCAGTGTATATAAAAATAGAACACAAATTAAAATAATTTGCCAAACGGTTTTTTTCAAAAAATTACTTTAACAAGATCACATGAAGGCAAAGTGTGTATTAAACTTAAAGTTAAACCCCTTCCACCATATTTGGGCCTTGATTGAATTATCCTTGCACAAATTATTGTATTAGGATCACAGGAACGCACAAAAGAGAAAATATTGTCCTCCCAGTATGGAGTTTTGTATTTGAAATATTAAAATATCTGTAAAAAAATATTTTTTTGGAAAATTAGAGGGGGCAGTTTTGAATTTGCCCCCCCCCCTCCCCCATTTCACTTGATCGTAATTTTAAAACCGGTCGCGCGCAAAAATGTAATAGTGTGGAAACGGGCGCATACAATGCTAACGTATTGAATTCTTGATACCAATTTTCTTCAACAAATTCTTTCATGAGCACCATAGGAACCCTCAGTGTATTGTATGGATATTCTCAAACACCTTCTCCATATTTTGTGTCCCCGATATAAATTTGCTTCCTCAAATTATTGTATCAGGACCACAGGAATTCCAAAAAGGTGAAATTATATGGCGGGTGCCGTTTCTCTATAGGTTGAAGATAAGAGCGAGAGGCTAATATAAAGAAGAAAAATACGTGTTGTTAACGTAATTTTGGTTTAAGTATTTAAAAGAGCAGTCGGGACATCCTGTATGTCAAAACATTGAATTTTATTTCCAATAGACACAGAAATAGAAAAAGTTGTTGAATTATCATTTTAATGTTCAATGTCAGTAATTGTTTATTTAGTTTAACTCTATTTCTTGTTTAAAACGCTTAAATAAGGGAACGTGTAATCGAAATCAGGTGTTAGTAAAAAGGTTTTATGGAACAAGAATTACTTCGTTCTGTGATATCGAGCGAGTTAAGGAATGCATGTGGTTATCAATTCGGGCAACGGAGCGGAGTTTCGTGTATCGCCGGGGAACAACGATATTGAATTTATGAATGGCGGTGGTTTCTCCTTTACATAGGAAAAACGGAAAATAAATGATGCTGTTTTCGGGTCGATTGTAAAAGCGTATAGTACCATTGTTGTATGGTCGTGGAAGCTTCCGCTGTGTCACTATCAAGTACTACTTCTCCAGCTCCTTTCTTCTTAGTTTCTGATATTGCTAGCATGCTCAGATCTACTTTCGCAAAATCCTCCTCTAATTCTTGTTCCTTATCCGTGATAATTCTAACGTTCCATGTCGTCTTTTTTCTTTCTTGTGCCTACACCGTTCTTGTAATAATTCATTTCATCCTTCCTCGTGTCCATTGCATAATCCACAGTGTCTGGGGATTAGTTTTTTTTGCATCAGATGATCTAGCACGTTGTTGGATAATCACTTTCTTCCTTATCTTCCAAAGTTCTCCACCTTTAGGTATGCCTAGCTTTTTTTCTCTTCTCTTCTTGTGCTATTCTCCTGTATCATGCCCTTGCATTTCTCTGTCTTTTTTTGAGACATTATCGTTGATACAATATCTCTTTGCTTCAGTTTAATTTTATTTCTTCTTTTCTCTTCTCCTCTACCCTTCCTAGTTCTATTAAGTACGTTTTCTGGGGTAGTTTGCTTATCGCGTTTATTTATTATCAGTGACGCGACGGTTCCGTTTTATCAGAGAACTGCAGTGTAAACAAAAGACACTAGCCTAGTACTGGTTTAAAGCTGACGCCGATCGTGGCACTTTCGTTGGTTCTGTTTTGGGCTGAATATAAATAGCGGAGCGCACAGCGAGCGAGAGAGATGTGTCCTCCCGTTTTTAACTTATTGATTAACTCCTGTGTTCAAAATGGAAATGGTATGAGTATAGTATTATAACACTACCTATACTCAAAATCGTTCTGAAGTTATGGCGTGACCAAGGGAATTAGGGATTAATTTTTATATATAGAGATATATTTTTCAACATTATGAAATGACATGTTTCTACCGTCAGCTGCTGGAAGACTTTCTTGGTTTGCACAAGCAAGAGCAAGAGAAAGAGAGAAGGGAAAGCCGTTTTGGTACCATTCCTTTATTAATTGAATATCACGAAGTAATGAATGAAGATGAAAAAGGGCTGCAGGAACATATAAATACTAGTGCAAAATTTTCCAACTCAAACTCCATCAGTAGACACTAACCGATTCTAAACTCGCCGCTTCGTCACTACCAATAAGGCGATTTATTTCATCACATCCCACGGAATTAAAAATTTCCGTGACAGTTTTATCTGGCAATTTGAAATGGTTGTTGGTAGTAATCTTTTGGCAAAAGTTTAAGACTCCCTTGAGCAAGTCCATGAATGAATGGTGGCGATCCTCTGATACCACGGACGCGTTCTTCGCATCTGCAACAGACGCGCAGTGGGAGGATTTTTGCTGTGGCACTGTTCCCATTAGCGCAGCCACCGCTTCGCGATTCTGCGCCGCTACTTGCAGGGGAGTATTTTTGTTCTTATTCAGAGCATTTACGTTCGCTCCGTCTTTGATTAATAGCCGAATAATCTCTGGATAACCTTTCGAAGCAGCGTTGTGCAAAGGGGTGTCGCCATTTATATTACTTGGGTCAACTCTTGCCCCGCATTCAAGTAATGCGCGTACTGTGTTCAAGTGGCCGTTCCAGGTGGCTGAATGGAGAGGAGTATTGAGGTCTTTGTTTCTTGCATCCAGATTTGCGCCTCGGGTGCAGAGTACCTTGATTACCTCCGTGAAACCTCTCCGACTAGCTTGGTGCAAAGGGCTGTCACCCTTTCTGTTCCTGGTGTTGATCAAAGCACCTCCTTCCAGCAATGTTGTAACAGTCCTTAAACTTCCTTCCCACGCAGCGTTTTGCAACGGAGTGTTTTCATCTTTGTTCAATGGGTTGACACTGACATTCTTCGCTAGGAAAACATTTATTAAATTGGAGTAACTTCGCGTTGCTGCCATATGAAGGGGAGTGTCTTCATTCAGATTCGCGACAGAAAGATTCGCACCGCATTGTATTAGTGCTATTACAGCTTTGAAATGACCATTCCATGTAGCCGAATGGAGAGCAGTGTTAAGATTTCTATTTCTAGCGCTCACATCTGCACCGTGCAAACAGAGCACTTTGATAACTTCCGCGAAACCTCTTCGGGCGGCTTGGTGCAAAGGGCTATCGCCATTTCTGTCCGTCGTGTTGACCAAAGCACCGCCTTCAAGGAGCTCGGTAATTGTCAATAAATGTCCCTTCGCTGCTGCGTTTTGAAGAGGAGTGTCTTCGTCTTTGTTCAACGCGTTCACGTTCACATTCTTTGACAGCAAATATTTTACTATATTTGGATAACCTCGCAAAGCGGCAATATGGAGGACCGCTGATTCATTACCATTCGTAGCGTGGACATCAGCGCCACAGTCGATTAGCACTTTAACCGAGTCAAAGTGGCCATTCCAAATTGCCGAATGAAGTGCGGTGTTAAGATCCATATTTCCTGCATTCAGACTAGCATTACAAAGGCAAGATTGTTTAATAACATCAACCAAACCCTTAAGCGCAGCTTGTTGCAGTGTAATGTCATCATTCTTGTTTCTTATGTTGGCATTAGCTGCGCATTCATTCTGTGCTATAATTGAAGGCCGCAGCGGCGTGTTTTCGTCTTTGTTCGTGGAGTCTGCACCCCGTGATTTCAGAAACTTGATTATATCGGAAAGTCCTCGCGTGGCGGCCACATGGAGGGCAGTTGCCCCATCCGCATTTTTAGCTTGAACATCTGCACCACAGTCTACTAGCGCTTTTACCGTTTCTAAGTGGTTACTCATCATCGCCGTATAAAGTGGCTTTGTTAAGATCCTTATTTGTGACAGTTGCATTGGCATGAAAGGAGCAAAGAAGTTTCACGATGTCCACGAACCCCTTATGAGCAGCGTGGTGTAGTGGAGTGTCCCCATTTCTGTTTCTTGTGTTGACATTTGCTCCGCTCTCCACCAGTGCGGTAACTGCAGGTAAACTACCCTCCCAAGCTGCTAGCTGCAGCGGTGTATTTGTGTCTTTGTTCGTGGAGTCTACGTCCGCACCCCGTGATTTCAGAAACTTGATTATATCGGAAAGTCCTCGCATGGCGGCCACATGGAGGGCAGTTGCCCCATCCGCATTTTTAGCTTGAACATCTACACCACAGTCTACTAGCGCTTTTACCGTTTCTAAGTGGTTACTCATCATCGCCGTATAAAGTGGCGTGTTAAGATCCTTATTTGTGGCACTTGCATTGGCATGATAGGAGCAAAGAAGTTTCACGATGTCCACGAACCCCTTATGAGCAGCGTGGTGTAGTGGAGTGTCCCCATTTCTGTTTCTTGTGTTGACATTTGCTCCACTCTCCACCAGTGCGGTAACTGCAGGTAAACTACCCTCCCAAGCTGCTAGCTGCAGCGGTGTATTTGTGTCTTTGTTCGTGGAGTCTACGTCCGCACCCCGTGATTTCAGAAACTTGATTATATCGGAAAGTCCTCGCATGGCGGCCACATGGAGGGCAGTTGCCCCATCCGCATTTTTAGCTTGAACATCTGCACCACAGTCTACTAGCGCTTTTACCGTTTCTAAGTGGTTACTCATCATCGCCGTATAAAGTGGTGTGTTAAGATCCTTATTTGTGACAGTTGCATTGGCATGAAAGGAGCAAAGAAGTTTCACGATGTCCACGAACCCCTTATGAGCAGCGTGGTGTAGTGGAGTGTCCCCATTTCTGTTTCTTGTGTTGACATTTGCTCCACTCTCCACCAGTGCGGTAACTGCAGGTAAACTACCCTCCCAAGCTGCTAGCTGCAGCGGTGTATTTGTGTCTTTGTTCGTGGAGTCTACGTCCGCACCCCGTGATTTCAGAAACTTGATTATATCGGAAAGTCCTCGCATGGCGGCCACATGGAGGGCAGTTGCCCCATCCGCATTTTTAGCTTGAACATCTGCACCACAGTCTACTAGCGCTTTTACCGTTTCTAAGTGGTTACTCATCATCGCCGTATAAAGTGGCGTGTTAAGATCCTTATTTGTGACAGTTGCATTGGCATGAAAGGAGCAAAGAAGTTTCACGATGTCCACGAACCCCTTATGAGCAGCGTGGTGTAGTGGAGTGTCTCCGTTTCTGTTTCTTGTGTTGACATTTGCTCCACTCTCCACCAGTGCGGTAACTGCAGGTAAACTACCCTCCCAAGCTGCTAGCTGCAGCGGTGTATTTGTGTCTTTGTTCGTGGAGTCTACGTCCGCACCCCGTGATTTCAGAAACTTGATTATATCGGAAAGTCCTCGCATGGCGGCCACATGGAGGGCAGTTGCCCCATCCGCATTTTTAGCTTGAACATCTGCACCACAGTCTACTAGCGCTTTTACCGTTTCTAAGTGGTTACTCATCATCGCCGTATAAAGTGGCTTTTTAAGATCCTTATTTGTGGCACTTGCGTTGGCATGATAGGAGCAAAGAAGTTTCACGATGTCCACGAACCCCTTATGAGCAGCGTGGTGTAGTGGAGTGTCCCCATTTCTGTTTCTTGTGTTGACATTTGCTCCGCTCTCCACCAGTGCGGTAACTGCAGGTAAACTACCCTCCCAAGCTGCTAGCTGCAGCGGTGTATTTGTGTCTTTGTTCGTGGAGTCTACGTCCGCACCCCGTGATTTCAGAAACTTGATTATATCGGAAAGTCCTCGCATGGCGGCCACATGGAGGGCAGTTGCCCCATCCGCATTTTTAGCTTGAACATCTGCACCACAGTCTACTAGCGCTTTTACCGTTTCTAAGTGGTTACTCATCATCGCCGTATAAAGTGGTGTGTTAAGATCCTTATTTGTGACAGTTGCATTGGCATGAAAGGAGCAAAGAAGTTTCACGATGTCCACGAACCCCTTATGAGCAGCGTGGTGTAGTGGAGTGTCCCCATTTCTGTTTCTTGTGTTGACATTTGCTCCACTCTCCACCAGTGCGGTAACTGCAGGTAAACTTCCCTCCCAAGCTGCTAGCTGCAGCGGTGTATTTGTGTCTTTGTTCGTGGAGTCTACGTCCGCACCCCGTGATTTCAGAAACTTGATTATATCGGAAAGTCCTCGCGTGGCGGCCACATGGAGGGCAGTTGCCCCATCCGCATTTTTAGCTTGAACATCTGCACCACAATCTACCAGCGCTTTTACGGTTTCCAAGTGGCCACTGGAAATCGCCGTATAAAGTGGCGTGTTAAGATCCTTATTTGTGACAGTTGCATTGGCATGAAAGGAGCAAAGAAGTTTCACGATGTCCACGAACCCCTTATGAGCAGCGTGGTGTAGTGGAGTGTCCCCGTTTCTGTTTCTTGTGTTGACATTTGCTCCACTCTCCACCAGTGCGGTAACTGCAGGTAAACTACCCTCCCAAGCTGCTAGCTGCAGCGGTGTATTTGTGTCTTTATCTAAAGAGTTCGTATTTTCGTCTGTGCAAAGCAGTCTTGCAGTATCCGATTGTCCGCTTAGTGGACTATTCCGTTTTAGGAGTGATATAGCTTGAAACTTGGACAAACCTGAAAATAGACACGTACCTAGTGCTTCAGAGCTTCACCCGTTTTGATTAAATCTGCATTTCGATCCGAACTTTGCAGACATTCACTTTAGTTAAATAGTAATGTACGATTTCTTACCATTTATCTTTAGATCACTCTGCCCCTCGTGAAACGTACTCAAAACGAACAAAAACGATAGTAACATTTGGTTTACCAGTAAACATGAAACTTATTTCTAAACCACTCTTCCACTGAAGTAATGGGAGTAAATAAAATTGGGTAAACCCCCAACCTTTAATCATTTATGGTTCGCGTAAATGAGAAGATATTCGTGAACAAAGATAAGGCAAAGTTTATCGATAAGCAGCTTTATTTTGCAATACTAACGTATAAATTTGTTTCGAAATTTTTCGTCATATTCGAGAACTTTTTCATTCAAACAGTTGTAGACCATAATTACGGTATGACCATGATTTTCCTCTTCGATATCTTCACAGTTTGCGATGGCCTGAATTGCCACGTACGCGCTACCGAATTCGCTTGACCCCGATTTTCTTTCGCTGACGATGACCTCATAAATGCTATTAAAGTTAACGGATCCGTCTTCACGTTGGAAACCTTTCTCTTTCCAAACGCACGCGAAGAAAGCTCTCATATCTTCGTCATCTTCCTTTAGGTAACCACTTTCAAGTACAATAAGGTTTTCATAGAAACCTAGGCCTAATTTATCTATGCACTCGTTTTCTATTGCATCGAAAATAGAATCATCGGCTAAACTGGTGCAAACCTGAAACGTCACCTAATTAATCTGAAAATTTTTGAAAAAAGAAGTCACAGACCATGCTGCAAATTAGTAGAATCAGTTGGTTGAACATGGTGTTTAATTCTAACTTACTTCTACGTATTGTTGGAATATCAACACCGGCAATGGTGCATCATCAATTTCTCTATCTGTATAAAAGTTACCAAGGTCTAAGCTAAAGTCAACGTTTGCGTTATTGTGAAAAAAAAAATATTGCAAGTTGCGAAGTTTTATGAATAGATCTTTGCTGAACAACTACTCTCCTTTTATTTTTTCTACGGCCGTCTACGGCGTACCAAAATTTTTCCACAAATTGTAACACTGGTGGAATCGTAAAAGTCCGAAAGTAATCTGGAAGAATTAGCATTCATTTTTTGTTTCTGCGCGTTTGATTTCTATGGTGCATTGTCGTTTTAATGGTTTTCGGAAACCGTGGCGACGTCGGAGTCAATCAGGTCGCAGTAAAATCCCGCCAGCGTGAGGCGCCATCATGGTAATAGTACAATTCAGCACAATTTCCGTGTGCCGGTGTTTTAAGGACAGCCTAAAGTTAATGCGCCCGGGGAGTACTGTCATTCAAATTGGCTCTTAACAAACAAATGGTTCATCTTAATTACTGAACACGATGTTGAAAGAGACATTAATTAGCAGGGATCATTCCTGAATTTTTTTAGAGAGGCATTCGTTCCTGGGCTACGAGATCGTTTAGTACGTGATCAAAGATACAAGCAGTAAAATGTAAACGCGAGTATTAATGACTTCTGATGCACGTTCACTGCAATTATTGCATGAGATTCGCTGGCACATTTCAATTGTAACTGTCTTTGCATTCCATAATGCAATGATCCCTGTCGAAGGATCCACACAAGCCTCAGGGCGCACTCTTTTCAACTTCCTCTTCCAGCATCATTCTTTTCTAGTTTCTAGCACGTTTTATTTCCGTGAGGTTCTAATATTTCCAAGTATAACTATTCTGGCGATTGAACCTACATTTTGTGGACTCTCGATTTAGTTTGGACGTGTTTCTGCATTTTTCTCAGAGTTGGGGTGATTGTACCTTGGGTTTCACTAATTACGTGACTACGACAATTTTGTCTTATCCACCTGGCTAATTTTTGCATTCTCGTAGGCGCTGCCACTGGAAGTTCGAACCGATTTCAGTCCACCGTGGCGATAACTTCATGAGTAGCTCTCATATTTTAAGAAGTGCGTTTAAAGGGGTTTTAATTGTAATTACACCTGTTAATCTCTAGTCACAGAATTTTTAACTTTACAATTATCAAGATCAGATCCTTATCACCATACCAATCGGCGGCCATTTTGTTATTGAAGTTACGCAAAAGTAATATCAACACGTAATTTGGCTAATCTGCTATTTCCGCGCATAGATAAGGAACTAGGGCATTAAGTCAACCCGAATCAACTGCTAGAAAGTTGTAATTTTTGGATAATTTCTTCTTCAGGGAATATGATAATTATTACTTTCGTAGAAATTTAGATCATTGTTTACTAGCAATTCATTCTTTGGCCGTTTTTATTAATAAGAAACCATTTTGTAAGCGTTAATTAGTTAACAAGGAATTAAGTAGGGATTATTCCGGGGAGATTTTGCAATCATTTGGGTTGGGGCCACCAGCGCGACCACTTAGTGGCCCTGAGTAATTTTTCTGCGAAATTCGGTTTCGAACTCCATGAAAGTTAAGCGTACTGCTCAATTGTTTGTATTTTATATAAAGAGTACCCATTACGTTTCCCGCAAGAAATTTCGTTCCGAGATCACTAAAGCGAAAGTTGCTATTTGTTCTGGACTCTTAAAACTAAGCTGTGATTTCTAGTATCTTGCTCGAAACGGAAACCTCATGAGTTTCGTCAGTTGCACAGTTCCGCCGATAAAATTAACAGCCATACTCGGTCAAGGATAAATTAATTAAGTTCGCTCATATATTTTTACGGCACAAAAAGTTATTGCTAAAATTCATAAAATTATTTTAAAACTTTTTTGTCGTTGGAAATCGTGACGATAAACGCATATGGAAGTAAGGTGTAAAACTTTGGCTTGGTGAAAGTTCCTCCTTTTGTGTTAGAAAAGAAGAGTTTAAAACCAGTGAAATTCCGTTAACTGTAACGAAGCACTCAGTTTTCGTATCGGAATTTAGATACACTGCATACGTAGATGACCGTTACCTGTTTTAATTTCTAGCGCCGTCTTAGCCACCGATGAGGAACCCAGCTGCCGTAAATAATTGAGGTATCAACTTGATAAGTGCCTCCTCCCTTGACACGGCTTTCCAATTAACACCAGGCGTTAACTTAATGACCCCAATTTTAGAAATATTTTCTTGCCAAAACAAGTGAGTGTAACTAATAGCAGCTAACCAAATGAGTTGCTGTAAATCGCATCCGAACCTGTTGTGAAATGTTAATTTTTGGACGTTCGCATTCGAATAGGCTGCGCTGCTGGGAAAACCGTCTCCTTCCTGAAATGACAAATTTTATAAAAAGTAAAGCCGTTGTTTAGAGGAAATTGCCTTTGGTGTTTAAGCTTTTGGCAATTTTCACTGTATGTTTTGCGATTTTATAACGGTGTCGCGTTTGCTATTTGACTTCCGCCAATTAAAAGGGAGGTATTGCCTTACTTTTTCTGCATTTGATTTACCTTAGCTACCGCTAATTAATTTATGCTTTATTGCTTGCGTTTTCGCTATACCATAGCTACAATGTCCGTGTAGCGTAATTCTGTTTTTTTTTATTTCCCTGGACGTAACCGCCCACCGAATTCTGTACTAAACAGTTTTTTCCACTGACTCTCTGTGGCCACCTATTGTGCCAAACCGTTGAAACGGTTCCGAATCCGCCGACCTTAGCCATAAGCAAGGCATTATTTTCTTCTGGTGGCGCTCGAGTCCGTTCGTCCGTCCGTTCCGCCAACATCAGATCCAGGTTGCCGCCGATTGCATGCCGCTGGTGTGATTCAATTATTGTAAATTTATTCTTTCTTTTAATTAAATTTTAATTTTGATTTCGCTAATTATATTGTTTACCTTTTACGCGCACTTCCTACCGTAGTTCGTCGCATCACAACAAACTGTCGTGATTGAGAACACCCTGTCTGCGATTTGTAAACCTAGAGGTTGACATCCAAAAAATTCGCAACAAGGAATGATCGCCCTGGGTCTATTTTGTACGAACATCATTATCTACCGAAGGACAGTATAAGAGGCACTGCACTTTCGCTTATTTAACATTCAAGTTTGCCCATCTTTAAAAAAGTTATAAAAATTATAAAAAATTATCAAGGAAAATCTGGATTTGTGTGTTCTTAAAGATCTCAATCTCTGAGCTTATTGAAACCGTTTGTATTGCATGAAGTTTATAATTTATGGACCCATTCGAATTGGATTTGATAGAAAAAATCTCATACTCAAATTCATAGTCCTGAAGCCCTGAAGTACCTTGAGAACGGAGCAACTTCTCCATGACTATCATGACCACTTCCTTTTTCACCTCTAGCTCAGAGTCAGGAATGATCTTCTTAACCATATGTTCGTTTGGCCATCTATTATCTCCATGATACAAACATTCTGGGCCCTCCAGGCGTCTGCTTTTTGCCAATGGAAACACAGTTTGTTTGATTTAACCACTACAAGCGCTACAAAGGTCTTACACTTGGTGAGTCGGTGTTCCGAATCACAAATCGCAGGCATTTCTCTTCGAACTTCTTTTAGGGGGTGACTTTTCCTTGGGTTTCACTTCTCGAGATTGATCCTCACTAATATCATGACGTCTAAGGGGTTTCCGGATTCCGCTTGATATCGGCAAGTCACCCGGATATGTACATCCATTCACTCGGCATTTTTCCTTGGTTGGTCAATTTCACACGATCCATGTCGTCGCCTACTTGGCTCGTGATCACTTTACAACCAATGAACTGCACCCTCTGGATTAAAACACACACTTTAGATGGAGATGGAGATCTCGGAAACCAGGTACGACGATGGTCAGATTAAAGAAAAGAAGCCCAATTAAAGATTTATTATTATGCTTTAAAGAAAACCAAAAAATTCCGAAGATAGAAACCGAAATTTACCGATTTAGTCTCTATTTTTTTCTGTTATTTGAACAGATAAAAAAAATTAACAAACGCTATCTCATTGCCACCTTTTGAGCTTTATAAGACGCCGTTGAGAGATTTTCAATACAACCAACGTTTTGTTTCGGAGAAATCATCAGCCACTTAATTTTTTTATATGGACTGTAAAAAGAGTACACACTGTATTGAGTAGCATTTTTTATTGCAAATACAACGATATACGGTACACAAAAAAAAACAAAAGGAGACAATGTAACAGTGGTGGGAGATAGCATAGCACGCGACGGAAGTCGCCATCATATAACCTCCTTTGCGTTGGTCAGTTATGTTGAACTGACTTATGATAAAACAGAAGAGGCGGTGTCAGATTTGTTTATTACGCCACTGCCAGTAGTGGCACGTTTCCCCCCACTTTTATAGCCTTTTTTTATCCATTTCCGTCGCGTGCTCTTCTAATGCAAGGGTCTCTCTTCCCTTATTGTTTACACGTGGTTGCTACCATTGGTATTGCGGAAAACTTCACTTTAGCGTTTTTTGTTGGAATGACAGGTACTGATTTTGCGAAAAATTTTCTGAAATTCCTGAAGCATCAAGTTAAAATTGCCGAAATTATTTATCTAAATGTATTTACGTGAATGAGTTTTGCTAAGCTTACTATAGGTAAGCATATTTTTCATGTTGCCTTTGATTATCATTATTTATAGGTTAGTATATATCATAAGTTCCTGGCAAATTCAAAGTTGATTAACATATCATCTATTCTCTATTGTATTTATATGGGAACCCAGTCATTGGGTTAAGCAAGGTTAATCGTATCAGCGATGCCGAAGTTCAAATCTCCGTTTTACGAAGCATAAATTTGGTAACATTCTTTGTGTAACATGTGCCTTGGTTGTTAATGACCTTATATGCGTTGGCCATTCAACATTAATTTAAGCTTATATTCTTTGTGTATCTTTATGCCCTTGTTGTATCGTTGCATATGTATTCGGCTTGTGGACCTATTGTCAATATTTATTACTTATTTAAGATTTTTCTATTGCATTTATCGATTGTATTCCAAAGCTAATTCCGTTACTGTTTTGGTTCTCTTGAAACGATGTCATACAGGACCAATTACTGTTCTGATTATTAACGAGCTCCTAGCGAGTTTATAATTTTGCGGTATCTGTCCGTCTGTCCGTCCGTTAGCACGATATCTCGATAACGAATGGACCGATTACGATAAAATTTAGTAGATGGATTCTTTATCAAATTTGTAGATCGGAGTTCGTGAATTGGCAATGAAACCCAAAAAATAAGAAAGGCCCTTTTGACATCTCCGTGAGTTATGAACCGAATTGCATGAAATTCAATATGCGTATATAGCTTTAGCCATATAAAACGCAATTCCAAAAATTGAGTCTAATCGATCAACATTCACAGTGCCCTTTTTATAAACCGAATTGCAAACTTTTCTCTTTATGAAGGTATTGATATACATAGGCACTTGGAATAAAGGAAAATCAACCGCCAGTTTCAAAATTTGGTTTCAATTTTCTTATTTATGGAGGCATTCAAATGAAATTTGATACATAGCCACTTGGAATAAAAGCAAATGTAGAGCCATTTTCCAAATTTGGTTTTGTGTAGGATGTGCAGTGCCAACTTTCTTATTTATGGAAGCAATTAAATGAAATTTCATACAACACTTTACATAAAAGCAAAACTAACATCAGGTTTAAAATTTGGTTTTTCACATGCTATAGCCATACCCAGGGTAATTTTCTATATTTGTTTAGTTTATTGTTTTGTACTTTAATACTTTGTTATTGAAATAAAATGATTATACAAGCTGATTCAAATTCGAGGGCCACCATGGGGATCTCGGGAACTGTAAGAGATAGGTAAGTAGTTTAAATTTGGCAAAGTTGCGTATTTTGATGCTCAACAAAAGTTTTAAAACTTAAAAAATTTTTACTTTCGGAGATATCCGGAAAAAACCAAAATTTTGCAAAATCGTTTTTATTTTTTACTGAAGTTATTTAAAAAAATTATAATGGCCACTTTTTTCCCTCTAGAAGATGCTAGTTTTAAATTTTAAATCCGACGTTTCGTCACGGATAAACCATCAACTTTGTTTTTTTCTTATGGAAGGAATTTTTACTTTTAGTTTCAATTCATAGAGAGTTTTTTTCTGATTTCAAAAATGTAAATATCACAATTTTTTTAATATTGTTAAAATATCTTCATGTCTTCAAGACAAAATTCCCTAAGCAAAAAAGGAGATATTTTATCAATATTAAAAAAATTGTGATATTTACATTTTTGAAATCAGAAAAAAATTCTTTATCAAATAACAGAAAAAGTAAAAATGTCTTCCATAAGAAAAAACAAACTTGATGTTGGTTGACTGGAGACGAAAGATCAAAATTAAAATTTAAAAGTAGCATCTTGTAGAGGAAAAAAATTGGCCATAATAATGTGTCATTTATTTCGAAATATCTTTTTGAATAATTTTAGTAAAAAATAAAAGAGATTTTGCAAAAAATTTTTTTTCTTGATATCTCCGGAAGTAGTCGGAATTTTTTGTTTCAAAACTGAATTTTGTTAAGTATCAAAATACGCAACTTATCCAAATTTAAACTACCTATCTAACTCTTACAGTCCCCGACTCCCCGGTCAATCCCGTTTCCTATCCATAAAGAATCGCTACACAGTTGCAACTGGTGCACCCGCGCACACTTCCTAATCGTGTGAGAATGCCGAAAACATTTTGAAAAACTGCTACTCAATACAGTGTGTAGGTACTTTTTTTTACGGGCAATATAAAACAAGTATAAATTAAAGCGCATTATTTTTTAACCGAAATAGCTTTTGTTTTGACATAACCAATGGATATATTTCTTGCAGACGTCTCAATCGCCCTTTGTGAGTACCCTCTTCCGACAATCCGTTCTTGAGGTGTAAGGGAATATACCCGATCACGATAAGAGATCGAGGAGGAGGGCTATGGTTGGTAGAAATGAATTCATTTTGTTAAGACCTTTCATTAGAGTACCATGAAGGATAAAACTAGTTCCCTTTGATAAGAGGTCAGAAAGAAGGGCAGTAGTTGGTAGAAAGCGGTTCCTTTCGTTGAGACCTTTAATTAGAATTCAATGAGATAACATTAATTCCCCCCCCCCCAGGCCCCGACGCCCACTGATCTCGAAAAAGAGTCGCACGGGAAAGTTATAGTTTGTACAAATCAATTTATTTCGATGAGACCTTTAATTAGAATACCATGAAGGGTAGAACATGTGTTTACCCCCCCCCCCCTATTTTCTAAAGTTTAACTTAGCACCACTAAAGGCATGCTTATGCAAAATCTGAGACATCAGTGGTGTAAAGATCATAGTCTGAGCAAAAAGCTGACCAGAAAGGCAATTATGGAAATCTAACCCTTTTTTTTCTCTGGGCAAAAAATTGGGCATTTGATGCACACTCCAATTAGCCACTTGTTCAGAGAGTGGGGCAACATTGAAGACTATCAGCCCGCACCTGCAAATCATGTCTTCTCTGGGATTTCATTTGAACTTGAGGCAGCTGTCAAACAAAAATCGCGTTACACTGTGGTGAATGCCAATATCACAGGTAACATCAGGGGGCGCACGAACTGGTTTCGTTAAATCCTCGCAGTCAAAGGCTGAGGAGATATTATCCCTTTGCAAAATGGAACGATCAGGGTTATCCATCTTCTCAAATAACACTCTCACTTCATTCTCCGTGGAATCTCAGATGAAGTGGCAGAGCATGTCTCTGCATTTAGACGTAGATAGAATATCTTCAAATGTAATCAGACGAAATAGGGCGGTCATTAGCTTTTTCAACGACCTGAAGCTATTCTAAGCAAAAGTTCTTATAATATTAGGTGACAGAAATCCAAATCCATGAAAATGGTCTCATAAACAAACAAACCTTAGATTGTTGTAGGTGATGCTAAAAAACTTAATTAAAAAAATGGTAGCGTTTATTAAAAATGCAAAATCACAAATCACAGGTCTCAATCTTCTTTTTCTTCCTTCAGTCTTTGAGCATTTACTTCAACCCTTGTATGGATACAATTGGACATTTTCACACAGGTGTCCCCTACGCTGTCTCCTTTTACATTTTCACAGTCGCTTATCGTTTTGGCTGCCAAATAAGTACGAACGTAATTATCATACATGTCAACTAAATGATTTTCCAAGGTCCTTTGCAATTTGTAAAGATCAATTTCGCCATTTTCACGGAGCAGGCCAATTTTCGACCAGCTGCAGCGCACCATCTCGTTCACGTCATCGTTACCCTCGGCTATGTACCCTTTTTCGTTGTAATCCAAACCGCTTTTGTCGATTTTTGGGAGGCAATGCAAGTCCAGTGGTTCCAAGTACGTTTTTGGAACGGATCTGGCGATTACCTGGTGAATAAAGTAACAGTAGAAATTCCCACGCACAAATCACAATAATAACATTATACCAACCTTGCTGGATGACGCAATGAAAACGCACAAAACGGCTAAGGTTAACTTCATTTTGGTAACGTGCTTCGGATAGCTCTGTAGGACTGGAAATGGAATAAATAGCGCAATTATCGCGCTTGATAAAAGGTCAGGTTTGGAACCGGTGATCACGTAATTGTATTCTAAGTAAATGTACTAAACCCATTAACAAAGTAAATAAATTGCTATTATTGAATTACCGAGGACGAGGGCAGTGAGTCACCGTTTTTACGTAGAATTTACCTATGACTGAGCCCGTGACGTTTTAGTTTCGCAATGTTGCAATACTTTTATACGTCGTGGTCAAAGGTACGTGTACTGTATCTACGATAAAACGATTAAAATATTTTTTGATTGGGTGCGGTGTGCTTGTAGATAATGCACCGTCTAATGGTCTCCATTTAGTGTAAGTTTGACCATAACTTTATCTAAGAAGTGAAAGATAATTCGCCATCACTTAAGCCCCCATGGAGATGGCTATAGTCTATGACTAGCTAGGATTTCTCCAACATGGTTCACCTATTAGTTGTGCGTGCAAGTGACGAGCACTTACCATTAATGTAGGAAGTTACGGTCAAGCCTACCTATGTGATGCATGTGCTTGTTCAATGTATGTACACATGTGCTGCTTAATTTCCGTCGACCTAGAGGCGGCTGGCTGGGGTTGTCGCCACCCCTTCCTTTTTTTTTAATTTGAGAGGGAATTAGGGAATGTTCATACCGCACACCGCCGCCTTGTATCTGTCGGGCGATGGTAGTGTGGGGCTCTCGCCCACTAATCCCCTTCTCCTTTACAATTGGGAATACTCCACCTCTGGGTAGCGCTAGGGCATTCTTCCTAAGGGGTTTTTCCCTAATCCTTTTTATTACCTGGCCTCCTTTTCTCGCGTGCCTATTATTTCTTCAATCAGGTGGGCAATTATTTTCCATTTCTCTTCGCTTTCCAACATTACCTTCACTATCGTTCTCTATCATTTCCCCGACCCTAATAGCGACCCGGTATCTTTCCCGTTCCCACCTAGGGCATTTTAGCACTCCGTGTCCTGCATCGTCCAGCTCACCACAATCTACTCTGGTATCCCTCTCTCTCTTTTTCTTATCCATTTCAGGTAAACCCCATCCTCCCCATGCCCGGTCAGAAACTGTGTGAGGATATAGTTAACTTCCCCATGCTTTCTTCCTACCCAGCTTTTTAGATTGTCTATCAGTCCCTTCGTCCACGACTCTCGTTCCTCCAACTCTTCTTCCCATGCATTTATTACGACTTTATTATTCTTCCCTACATGCCTCGCCCAGACCCTTAGCCTCAGCGGGGGTGTGCGGGCCACTACAAATAGATCCTTATTGAATACTGTCCTATACGCCGAAGCTATATCCTTAAGGCCATTTTCCTCTGGACTTTATCCACCACCTCCTTGGCCTTTTTTGTTTTCATTACTCTTCCCCACACCTCGCATCCATATAGTATCACGTTATCGACCTCCGAGGCTAGCACCCTTCTCTTCCACTCATTCGGTCCCCCCGTATTCGCCATCAACCGGCTAAGTTGTTCAGCCATTCTTCTTGTTTTTTCCGTGACTTTTCCACTATCATTGTTCGCTCTACCGCCAGTGTCACCTCCGGGAGTCTTCTCCTCTCGGCTATCAGGACCACTTGAGTTTTACTGCCCACCAGTCTGAGCCCTCTCTGCTCCATCCACACTTGCACCTTATTTATAGAGCTTTGCGCCTTTTCTGCCGCTCGCTCGATCTTGTGGTCTGCCACCACCACGCTCAGGTCGTCGGCGTACGCCACCATAGCCACTCCTGTCGGCACTCCGAGTCGGATGACCCCATCATATGCAATATTCCACAGGAGTGGGCCCAACACCGACCCTTGTGGCACCCCTCCGTTCACCTCAAACTGGTACCCCTTCCCGGAGGGCAGTTTAACCCGATTCCTCCTGTCACTTAAGTAGCTGTGCACTACCCTTCTTATAAACCCCGGTGCGCCTTTTCTTTCTAGTTCTTCTAATATGACCCGGGACCCCCATTGGGATAGAATTAAAAGCATTTTTAACATCTTAAGTCACCTCCCTAGTACGTCGTGTGCCTCGCATTGCCGTTTCTGCTATTTTCTGTATTTGGCTAAGCGCCTCTCGGGTCCCTTTCCCTTTTCTGAAGCAATACTGTCCGTCCGAAAGACTGGCAAACTGTTCGATCCTTTCTACCAGCACCCTCTCCAGCAATTTCCCCAGATGGTTTATTAGAGATATCGGTCTCACTGAGCCCGGTTCCTTTTTGGGAATGAGTACAACCGCCGCCTCCTTCCATACCTCAGGGTATACTCCCGAAGTTAGCACTTCATCGAAAACCCTCGTAAACCACTCTGGCTTCTCCCCGGCCACTTTGGTCACTAGCTCCGGAGGAAGCCCGTCTGGTCCAGGAACCTTATTTTTGGACATCCTCTTGACTACATGCCGTATCTCTTCTGTGTTAATTTTGATTATTGTCTCTTTTCCTGCTTCCCTTCGCCAGTCCCTACCGGCCGGGAACAGCCTGTCAACCTTCTCCATTAACTCCTCATCGGGCCCGATTACTTTTCGTCTTCCCCCTATCTTGCCACAACGATTTTATACGCCCTTCCCCATACATCCCCTCACTTCCGGCTCGCCATTCTGTCGCTTCCCTTCCGTGCCCCAGTTGTCCATTTTGCCGCGTACTTCCCAGGAGATATACCTGTGGTCGCTAAGGTTCTCGACCTCCTCCACCCTCCACATGTCTATGTCTCGTGCTAGACCGTCGCTAGTGAACGAAGGTAGGTATCCGTCCCGTGTTTATCACCTGCAGATCTAGCATAGCTATTAGCTCCTCTACGGCATTCCCCCTAGCCTTCCGTTAGTGTCGCCCGGTCTCTGAGACCGCAGAAAACGTCAATCGTGTATGAATCCGAAGATTGGCCGAGTACTAGCACAGTTTGGATGTTGTACTTATACTCTTTGGGTCTGTTTTTGGTGATACTTACAGAGCGCGCATATTGAGGTGTGAGAGACCGCCGTTACTAATGACGTCTTCGTCTACGTGAATCGTTTTTTCTTCGTTTTGATTATTATAAACACGTTGAACACGTTGAAACACCTTTTGTTCACAACAAAAGAACGTTTTGTTTTTCCAAAGCACTCTTCTCAAAGAATTAAAAATTGTATTTTTAGGAAAAATGTGATGCTGAACCACCATGTGTGAGTTATCGTTGTAAAGAGAAAAAAAGACGTAATCTCAAAATGTAAAAATTCAATATGGCGCCCATAAGAAAAACTAAAGTTGCCACGTGTTTCTCCGTCATCTTGAAAGTAATTAAAAACAGGATGCCATATTTGAAATCGCCATTATAAAGTGTCCGAATAATGTGCTAATTGGAAATGTCTACTACGACTAGTTTATCATAAAAAAATTAAAAACGAAAATCAGAAATTTGCGTTTTTTTGCGATATCTTCAATATATTTCAAATTTCTTTTCAGATTCTTATTCAGCACGAAAATTGGCAACTTTGCCCCCATTTAATTAACTTTCTATCTCTTAAGATAAGTGAGATCCCAATAGTGGCACTCGAAAAATGGACACCGGTATACTGGAAATAAATTCTACACCTATTAACACACCTTAGAAAATAATTGCCGATTAATTTACATTTAAAAAAAGCTTCTTTTGATACCGCGGTCTCACACACCGCCGACACCAAATATGTTGCAAAATGTCGCGACACTACCGGAAGGCTAGGAACACTGTGGACCAAGCGTTCATATCTCCCACGACCACATATTTTCGGGCTCCCACTCTCTTCACCTCTCGTGCCAGGTCTCCAATAACCTCTTGCAACTCCTCCAAAGTGTCGTTTGGCGGGACAGCCCCTTCCTGACTTTCGGTAACGGTGCACCCCCCTGCTGCAAAGGTATTGCGGCGGTCTGGTTCAAACGCTGTGGCAAGTGTTGGTAGCGTGATTGTCATTGATGTCGAGGTGGCCATCCTGGAGCAGGGCGCAGGTCGTGAGTGTGAACTTTCACCTGTTTTCCGTTGTCTATTCGTATCCGTATCCCAAAAAATGCAGCCCGATTCGAAGATTTGAGTAAGAATGCCGCGCTCCCACCCGATTTTTGCTTAAGTACTCGCCGAATCTCAAATACGAAACGACCCCACCAGAGTATCGGGAGAGTGTAATGGACCAGGAGGTGTTTTTGTTAATAATTCGTAGAATACGTGTTACAAAAATGCTTTAAATTTTCTCTATCTTCTAGGAAAAGGTTGTTACGTTCATTTTGAGCAAAGTAGAGGTGGGTCGGGGGAATATCATATCATATCATTTTTATTTGTAAATAACAATTGTATACACAACAAATTTACACGTCAACAAACAAACATAGAAATGTATATATAATTTAAACACATATTAGTCATCTATCTATTTAAATATTCTTTTCCATTATAAAAAACTCCTAATGTCAAAAACTCTTTAACTTTTCTTTTAAACTGGTTTTGTCAAGTTTTTGAAGGCACTAGGCAACAAATTATAATATCAAACGCTCTTATACTCAGGCGACTTCTTATATATATTATGGGATTCTCGCATTCTACCTAAAACGAAGAAAAATAGGAAATATAGTAATAGTAAATTGGATGGGCACCCGTTTGCCTTTAGTAAATTTCGAAAGAAAAGAGAGAACACTTATCGAGAGGGTAAATAAGGCAGAGTAAGAGATTTCTGTTCTGGTCTTGATAAGCTAAAGAAATAAAATAATTGACAGAGTCGCGGCTTCCTATTTAATTACGAGGCTAAAATGTATAAAATTTGACAACACTGCAGATACAATTTTAAATGAATTTCTTTTGTATCAGCAGTCTTCATCATGCTATAATACTGTCTTTATTTTACCACTTTTGAAAATGGCAAAAATAATCAATATCCTGCATTCTTTCTTAATAATAACACAACAGTAGTGACGGTAAACCAACTGTTCGATATTGATGCGGCGTTGCCAACTCTTACAGCGGAGCCGCGTAATTATAGGAAGCCGTGACAGGGTAGAACATAAAAAACAGTTGTCATAATTTATCAGTATTTAACCAGGCATGCGCAGATAACAATGGAGCTATAATTGGTAAATGACTATCAAACAAATCTAATAATTATAGTTCGATCGTATCAACAACCAGTATGTCATCAAACGTTACATCAAGAAGTCATCGAAAATAAAAATATTACTTTTGAACTTTGGTCATAACGGCGTTTTGAGCTCAGAAGGGCGCTTTTCTGCCTTATCTGTAACAGATAACAAAAGAAACAAAAAACCAGAGGGATAGTGAATAGCGCGGCACATACATATAATATTGCGCTAGCAATGTTCAACGTTCAATACTCGGGTCTCGTATACTAAAACCGTAATTAACACTCAATAAGAATCAAAAGAATTCCATGTACGTTAACTAAACAAAGCAAAATTTTGACTCGACAACGAATCGTCCGTGCAAATCGGATATATAAAAGCATAAACGTGACGTTAACAAAACTACCCCGTGTGACCGTGCCATTTTTGCCCGAAGTCTCCTGATACGTAGTTTCTGAATCGCTCTATCACCACGTCGCCATGTTTGAATTGGGTTGAGGTGGATCCGTAATTGACATCCGCTCTTCCTGTGCTTCACCTTGTTCCACTTTGAGTAGTAGGTCAGGTTTCGTAAGCCATTCACCCGAACGAGTGCCCTCGTACCCTAGGAGGGCTTGACTTGGAGTTGTTCCGGTGGAGGCGTTTCGTCTCGACCGGATTATGATAACGATGATTGGCAGGACATGTCTTGGGGTCTTTTCCTTGGAGGTCTATCCGAATGTTGTTCTTGATTTTGCCTCTCGACCGGGCTAGCTTACGGATGAAATGGGGTGGCCCAATGGTATCAACCACAGTGTCGTAAGGGGGCATCCCAGGTGATTGACGTAAACTGGGGCCCGTTTGCACAATGACTCTTCGGGACCTGTATGTTCCAGTTCCAATCACATCTCTTTCTAGTGTGCTGGCCTCGGCGTCGGTTGTGTCCAGAATTGGCCCGCGTTTTGTGCCGACGCAGATCCTGCGTACGTCCCTCGTGTCCGTCGTGATTTTAAACCAGTGGTATTGCGTGCTGATAGCGATTGCGGTCTGCTCCTCCCGGTGTGACCGGCCCTCGGACGGTGAGGAGCACTAAGATCCGAGGGCACACGGAGATGGAACGGCGGTAGAAAACTCTCGTGCTGAACATCCTTCGAGGTGATAGTGGGCTGGTCCCCGGGAGTGCTAGTTTTTCTGAACCAGTGAATCCTGCGGCGCTAGGTTGTTCCCCAGTGAGTGAAGAGGAGAGTCCGGGTCTGCCAGGCTAGATATTGCGTCGGCGCATTGTCGCATTTTTACAAAATTGTGCGTCGACCCCGGTGTCCAAGAAGACAATTCCAATGAAAATGATACCTCGGACAGTGGTGGCGCTTGGGAGTTTTCGCGGAACATTCGGAGGTTGCGGGTGGTGTTGCAGTGCCCCGGGCTGAGATTTTGTGGTGGTCTTCAACACCACTGGTGAGACGAACCAGGTCAATGGAACTTACCAGTTTGCACGTTCCTTCAGAGAAAGGTCGGACGCGAAGATGTAACAACTCCTTCAAGATGTCGATGTGGTCGCAAATCGAGATTCCCAGACGCCTCGCTATCTGCGTCTCGCTCTGGAGAAAAAAGTGGGCGGACTCACCCTTTTGTTCTCTGGAGAACAACTCAGCGCTCATATAACCACGAATTCAATGGTTGTGGTACTTTCAACACGAACAAAGAAAAAGTATTTATTTCGTTGCAGCTTAGGTAGACTATTACTAAGGAAACACCCTATGACCAATATGCAACACACATGTATTGTGGTTTGTAAAGATTGTGCACAATGGGCATTTTTCGTCTTTATTGTTGTTTATTAAGGATCGTTGGGAAAAAGACCAAGGGCATTATGTCAAAGTCCAAGACATGAACGACCGCATAGGTTTTGATCAAAACATGTCAAAATCGTTATTTATGCACCAAGATCGATGGGAAAAAGACTAGGGGCATTATTTCAATGCCCAAGATATGAATTTGATGCATTTTTGGCGACCACGTGGATTTTGATCAAAACATGTCAAAATATTTATTCATGCACCAAGATCGTTGGGGAAGAGACTAAGAGCATTATTTCAATGTCCATGAATTTGATGCATTTTTTTTAAACTATAATATTGTAAGATTAAAATAAATGGTCGTAAAAAAAGGGCTGGTAATACTGAGGATCTTTCGATATTTCGTTGTATCGGTTTATTTTAAATAAATTAATCTTGTAGTATACAATCAACACACGTAAATTTATGTTACATAAACTTAAGCCACCCATAAAAGTGTGTGGGGTACAAAATTATCCTGATAGAATACGTCTCTAGATTATGTTGAAACTACGACCTTTCAAGGTCTCCAAATCAGCGTTGTACCAAATTCCTACCAGGAGCTTGGAATAATTAAAGTTATTGGAATTCAAACTACAGCAAACCATTTTGTTCATCTACGCCTAGTTGAAATATGTGCAGGAATAACCATGCAATCAAAGCATATTAAGAGTGGGTAGTAGATAAATTGCAATACCATATCAATTTGTTATTTTGGATTTTGAATATTCGTACCAAAAACCATAACCCATTTTTTACATTCTTGGTCAGGATTTTCTAGGGCCTTTTTTTTCTTTGGCTGCTCATATCTTCTATTTCCTCGAAATTCAACAAAGTCACTCCTTTTTCTAACGAGAAAAGTAGATGGTCCTTATATACAGGGTGCCCATTATGTATGGAATGTAGTATATATCTCGGTAAATATCGACTGTATACAATTTTTTCTATAATATGAAAGTTGTTTAACATTTTATTTCCAATAATAAAGAAGCTTTCCAAACAAATGAATAACGAAAAACAATTGCATTTGTTTAAATAGTAATGGACACTTCCATTAGGCTCATGCATAATGAAAAGGTGACTGTTATTTTAAAAAATGTAATTGTTTTTCGGTACTCATTTGTTTTCTGAAATAAAAACAACTGAATGCTGCCTTATTAGTGGAAATAAAACAACTTTCATATAGAAAAATATTGTATACATTCCACATTTACCGAGATATACAGGGTGTTTCGAAATTCGCGCACACGGACTATGGGATGGTGTTATACGACAAAAACTGAACAAAAAGTTCCTCTACCAGTTTTCCATCAGACCGCTACTTTTCGAGCTACCGCGGTTTTAAAAATCTCCGCCTCCCCCCTACGCTGCGCCACTGGTTAAAGTTAATAATAACACATTTTTAAAAACAAAAGAAGGTTCAAAATAAACTATAATTATGACCAGTACGTAATTACAACAGTTGTCTGCTAGTAAACAAGCTTCAGCACGTTGAAAAAAAAAGTGCCGGTCTGATCAAAAACTGGTAGAGGAACTTTTCAGTTTTCGTTGTATAACACCATCCCACAGTCCGTGTGCGTGAATTTAGAAACATCCTGTATACTATATTCCATAGAGAATGGACACCCTGATGTATAATTTCGTATGGTATTGTGAAACGAGCCCTGACCCATGTCTCCTCGGGATGTGCAACTGTTACAAACTATCCCATGAGCACTACCGCACAAACACAGTCTTCTAAGGACAAACCAAACTGCTGGTAACATGCAAATCAAACGGCTAAAATATCCTTACATGAAGGCTACCAACGGGATTGCCACCAAATCGTCATCATGCAGTTGTAAACTTTGACAACGGTATCTCCAGAATCCCTCCCCGTTACGTCCCTGCAAGGCTCAACTAGATCTTCAGCGGTTACCTTAGCGTCAGGCGTTTTCTTCACTAAATTTTCGTGCATCCAAACCTTTATCTTGTTCGCGTCGATTTTGCTCCCCCCAGTTAAGTACCCCGCCTTGGACCAGGAGCAGCTCACAAACTCGTTCAGTTCCGAATCTCCAACCGTCAAAAAATTGTACCGGTTAAAGCCGTCCATGACGAAGTCCACCGTTAGGTTCAACAACTTCATGCAGTCGTAGTCATGCTCGTCTAGATCGGATACTTTCAGCGTTCGAACGAGGGAGATCTGCAAACAAATGTTAGCCTCGCCAAGAAGATAAGGTTACATACCTACGTTCAAAAGCAACGTTAACACAAACTTGAAGCAAATCATCTCAGACCTGAAGACGGCTACACAACACTTTGTAATGGTGAAAGGTCGGCGGATGTCGATAGATAAACCCAATACAGTAAAGAGAACGTTGTTGGGTAATTGCTTTTCAATTGAAATCAGCTCGGTTTTTTATACAGCGTGACATGCGTTATATTTAGGTAATTGGTAAACGTAAATAAATTTGACGTGCAGTATTTCCCAACGACAACCTCCCCGTTTCTGTATTCTGCAACAGACAAGGTGATGTGACCGGGAAGTTTCAAGGTAGGCGGATCAAATTTAGCGCGTTTGTATAGACGCAATGCGTTTGAACTTTTTTACACTAGGAGCGGTGGGTATATATAAAATCTAAGTTCTAGCACAGCTCTTATAAAAATCTAGAAAATGGATTATTGTGGAATTTTGATTCTCGAAACCGGACATGTTTACAGAAGTGTTAGAATCAAAATTCCAGATCATCTCTTTTACATAATTGATGAACTGTGTGCGTTGGCACTCTTTAATGGCGTAACTAATCGAAGTAACCCCCACATACTACGTCCCACCTCAATGTCATACAAAAATGTCTAAAAAAATTCGTTATTATTCAATTGAGTATAGGTACTTAGGCCTGATGTACACATCCGATTTTTTTGACGTGCGGCGCCGCCGGTGCGGTGCCGGAGTTACATTGAGTTATATCGGGCAGTGCGCACAGTGGTCCGGTACCGTTGCGGAGCTCTACGACCAGCGTGCGTCAGTTTTCGACCCGTTCGTCCGAGTTTGTAGTACATTGTGTACCCACATACATTTTACCGTTGCGGTTCCGCACAGGCGCCGCACGTTAAAAAATCGGATGTGTGCGCCGGACCTTAGTTTCATTTTTTTAACAAAGGGAAATACGCTGAGGTATTAAATTTCATCTTTTGTTAATTTTCTGCTTTGAATTGCAATAAGAAGTCTTTCGTGACGTAAAAATCCAAACACTGAAAGGAAGGGTTTTGAATAGTAAAAATGCAACAGCTGTTGTACCAAAACAAACATCTATTTCGAAAAAATGAGTTTGGGCGCTACCCCTAAAAATCTACATAATTGCATTTTAATTTGCAAATTAAAAGTCAAGAAATTTTATTAAATTCTGACAAAAGAATTTTTTTTCAATTTCTAAAAACCTCTATATGAGGAAAAATCCCTCGGTCCCAAATTTTATCGCTATCAGTACTTTAGGCGTACGCTAAGAATTAATACAATAAATTTATGAGTCTTAAAATGGATTAATTTATAACAGTAATTACAATTTATCACTCACAATTTATATCATAACAAGAACGCATCGAAGTAGGAACTAATTTGTAACGTAATCCGATTTGCTTATATAGTCGAGTGTTCCCGAGCGGTCACGAAGATTCTTGAATAAAATAATACATATTCCGTCACATACGCCTTCGTTCTTTATCGCCGATGACTAATCTTTCATGGTGCCTCGAAGGCTATCGAAATTTCTGGAGTGTTCGCTAGACTCTTGGTTAACGGTTTCAAAACTCTGAAATTCAAGATTAAAGCCCTCGAGGTTAAATGTTAGAAGTCACGGATACAAGTTCTACGGTTATAGTTTCAAGGTTTACCGCATGGTACGCATACTTGCATATCCCACTGTACAAATATATCCCGCATCAGTATCACTCCCGCTCCTGTACTCACATACCCGCGTCGGTTTGGATGGACCCTTTAAATGTTTTACTCCAGATTCAAGATTAAAAGTTCAAAGTGAAGCAGTAAAGAATTGAATAAAAAAATATGAGTAAAGGATAAAGAGTAGGAGGAGGAGAAATAGGAACAAGATCGAGAAAAGATCGAGAACAAAATCTAGAACAAGATCGAGAAGAACAAGATCGAGAACAAGATCGAGAATTAAAAGTTCAAAGTGAAGCAGTAAAGAATTGAATAAAAAATATGAGTAGGTAAAGGATAAAGAGTAGGAGGAGGAGGAATAGGAACAAGATCGAGAACAAGATCAAGAAAAGATCGAGAACAGATCGAGAACAAGATCGAGAACTATATCGAGAACAAGATCGAGAACAAGATCGAGAACAAGATCGAAAACAAGATCGAGAACAAGATCGAGAAACAAGATCGAGAACAAGATCGAGAACAAGATCAAGGACAAGTGAATCTGAGATATCCATGGTGTGATGAAACTCAAAATGGGGTTGTGTAGAGTCGTTAAATCACAAAAGACAAAACACAAAACCTTCCCCATACTAATGAAGGTTTTGTGTCTTTTTTGGAATTAACGACTATCAAGAACAAGATCGGGAACAAGATGTAACAGTATTTCTGTACAGGTTAATTAAAGTTCATTTTTACGTAATAAAAAATATCCAGTCTAAATATAATCATGACTCCCAAGTACGAATGATGTGACTGAATGAGAATGGATTTAAAGGAATTTGTTTACAAACTACTAAAGTATAAATACGGGGATTTGAAGCAGCAGAAGGGAGTTGCTCGCCGCCTTTTTAAGGAGCATCATCTATGACAGTCGCGCCCGCAAATTATAAGCGCGAAATTTCATAATAGAGTGTTAAGGCGACATTTGTAAGAAAAGCAAGCAAAAGAACCGAGTGAAATCATCTTCATCCAGCCAGCGTAGAAGAAAGCGAAGGCGATTCTTCACGGAGCACCGGAGAAAATTGGAAAATTGCGAGATTACCTAAGACGAGTATTCATTGGCTGGGTCCTGGGTTCGAATCCCAGGTAAGGCATGGCTGTTTGTGATTGTATAGTGGGTTGAGTGGGAAGAGTAGCAAATTGCTAACTCTCCGCCCACTATAAAATAAAGACAATAAAATAAAAAAAATAAAAAATAAAATAAATTATCAATTTTTCTATACGCGGTCCGTGCGTAGTCCACATAGACAGTACCAAAAAAAGTCGAAGAAAAACCAGCCTGCCTGTGATTGGCCTAACTGAAAAGCGAATAGTAGCCTGCAGTGGGTGGTCCTAATTCATTCGATCGAAGAGACCAAGTTATTCTCCAAGTCCTGGTGCATAAATAAACTAAAGGTATCTATAAACAATATTGCGTTGTCGTTTATTGTGCGTCGTTATTAGCCCCGTGGTAGCTTTATTGCATTGTCGCTTATTTATAGAACATTAATCTAAAGCGGTGTCATTGTAAAGGCGATTTAATTACTTACGAGTGTTGCATACAAAACAGTGCTTATCAGAGCTGTTGCTTTCATTATAACGAATCGAGCCTGGAGGCGTTACTACGCATTTACAGCAGTTTTGTTTTGCTTTTCGATTAAATTGTATGATAATTTATGAAATACGAATTAAGTTTCTTTCTGTACTCAGCGGTTTTAGAGTAAATACTTTGATTTGAGTTCACGTAGTAAATACAGATTTTCCTTTCTATGCAGTGATTTTTTGTGAATGAATGAGTTAACTTTACTTTTACAGGAGTGTACCGCCTCACCCCCATTTCTCTTAATAAGTGTTATTTACAGTTAAAAGGCGATTTTCTAAGAGAAAAAGAACTTAACAGGTTTTAATAAAGATTATTGATTTTTATTCATTTATCCTGTCCCCTTTCCTTGAGGCCAGAAGAATCATCAACTGAACCTAACCAGCGCCCAACAACCCTTATTTTATATAAGAAGAACCAACCCCAAATAAAATAGTTTATGGAAGAGACGGTAAGGAGAGTTGAAAAGTAACCAGCCGGTCACAAAGATCGAGAACAAGATCGAGAAAGGAATCGAGAAAGGGATCGAGAACGGGATCGTGCCCAGCACAGATACCACCCACACACCTGCGCATGCGCGATTCTGCCCAAAAGTTTTTCAGCTCTTCTTTTAATGTGTAAGAATATGTGCATCAAATGTGGTTCCAATGGGTTCAGCCGTTTCGCAGACTACTACATACAGACATTAGAACTTCGAAACACAAAAAAGTGAGAAGGGGGAGGGGGGTAATTTTTTCGACCCCAACGCAATATTTCCTAAAGTGCGGGTGATAACACTTTCAGCATATAACACAAGAGTAGTGCTCCATTACTTGAGATTCGAGGTTTAAGGTTCAAGATACAAGGGTTTTCAAGTACCCGGCCTAATATACGAGAAAATGAAGAGCGTTATGATAAGAAGCGAGTGTAAAACCAGATAACAGTCGAAACGCAACAGTGTTGCCGGTTCTAAAAACCCTCCTTACAGAGCATGAGGAGCGCTCGAACTATACCTTCACGCGTATAAAAAACGAAGCCGAAACTGTGTGAGCGTTGGGTCCGTTTCCGTTTTTTTGGCGAGTTTTTGGTGTAAGAGAACGATTTTTCGCCGAACTTTCGAAGCGAAACAATGTGAATTGTGCGCGGCGTTTTTAAATTGCGTAGATTCATTTCCAATTAAAAGTTCGAGACAAAGTCCTATATTTGAAATATAAGAAGGAATCATCAACCGCGAAATCGTATGTGATATTTTATCGCGAAAGTTGGAGTTATTTACCGAATGTTAAGGGAAACCTGTGCCGCTATTTCGATTAAATTATTGTTGTGGGTGCTTTATCAATTCATTGTGAGTTGCCATTACGAACAAAACTTACTGCATTATGGAATTAGCGTGCTCGAGTTTAAATAAATTTTTACCAGGAAACCGTTGTGGCCCAAGGTGCGAAATGTTCATTGCGTTTATATTTGGAGCGGTTGGTTAGACGATAAAAACAAGTTTATTAATCAAAATTGTACGCATTTCTTGTGTATTTGGGGTGTTAATAGATTGTAAATGAAACGGTAACCGGTAAAGCGATTAAAGACGATTAATTCGCGCTTTCTGCTGCGTCTGGTACAGATCTTTTCTTTCCAGTTCCTGGGTACCATTCGACTCGCCGTTTCTTCGCGCGTTTTATTAGCTTCTAACGTTAAAGTCGTCTATTTCATCTGTTTTTCATGAAAACCGCTACACAAGTAGTATAGGTTTTATTTATTTTTTTTTTTCTTATATTACGCTTATAATATAATAAACGGCAATTGTTCTAGAAGGATTAGAAATGTTCTACAATAAACACGTAATTTTTCACGTAAGGATTGCGTCACATCTGCCTTCACTTTTATCGCCCCTCATCTTTCATGGCGCCTCGATGTCTATCAAGATTGCTGGAATGTCCGTTACAGTAGAGACTTTGTTTAATTCGAATTCTTGGTGCTTCAAAACTTATATTCCCGTTAAAAATGTAGAGGGAGGAGGAGCATTTTTACCCCAATGCAATAACTTCTTTACTAACGTGCGGGTGGTAAAAATGGGGAGAATTTAAATTAAATTATCGTTCCGAAGTTCAAGAGCAAGTTGCTGGGTAAGGAGGTGACGCACACAGACAAGTTCCCAAAGAAAATCTGTTCATAGTGGTAAGCGTCTATCTCTGAATAGTTTGTGTTTGTGTTAGTTAAAAATTAAACAAAGTAAAAAACAAATTTTTTACTATTTTCCCATTATCCATAGCGTTTTAGCCCAGCCGAATTTAAAATTGAAAAATTCGATGTAGATGTGATTTGTTTATTTAAAAAAAACATAAAATTTCAATTTCAACTGAACTCTTGACCGTTGTGAAAAAAAATAAATATTTAGACACCCCACAGGGTTCTTACAATGCAGTTGTAAACTTTAATGCCAGTATCTCCAGGATCATCGCCCCTGATCGACTGACATGGCCTCACAAGGTCTTCGGCCGTAGTTTTAATTCCAGGTTTCTTTTGTATCAAATCGACTTCCAACCACGCCTTCAATCCGTCAGGATTAATTTGACCCTCCGTTGTGAGATATCCAGCCTTGCGCCACGTGCAATTGAGAAATGCGTTGAGTTCTGGGTCGCCCTCTCTCAAGAAATTATACTCATCGAACCCGTTGACCACGAAGTCTACCGTAAGGTTTAACTCTTTCATGCACTCATAGTCGCGCCCTTCCAGACCCGATTGATCGTATGCGGAACTGAGAAAGACCTAAAAAAGAAATTTAGAGTCGGCGATATTGTTGTTAGGCACGTACACTCAGTGAAACAATCACTGGCATGAGAAGTGTGTTCATTTTTGCTAAATCGCGGCGATTGACATTTTCCTATTGCGAACACTATTTATATTGTCGAGATTGAAGAATCTTGATAACCATATCTTCTGGGAATGCCAGGGGAAAAGTTGTTTTGCTATTTCTCCAGTACAACGAATTGATGATGAGTTTTTAGAACCCCTTGTACGAGATATTATGAGGTTATCAACTACATGGGGCAATCGTTGATCTTACACTATGACGAACACATGACAAGTACGTTTCGAAACTTACATTTTTACTCGCTCCAGCTTTGCCAAAACTTCACGTCGAAATTTTAGCGCATTTTTTTAAGAATTAAACAGATGTGCTATTGTTTGCGTTTTGTTCATCCGTCCGGACCCACTTCTGCCGTTTTGAACTACTTTTAGGGAAATGGTCCTAGAGCGCTGTAATTTTCTGCAATAGGTAGCTTATATCTGTCAGACGGCCGTCAAAGTTTGGTGTCTTAAGGGGGGCTCCCCCATGAGTTATTTCCTTAGATGCTGTTTTTGAAAGTAAAATTTGCACAACTTTTACATACGACAACCGATTGGTGTCAGATTTTGCATACACATGCCTTTAGTGGTGCCAAGTAAAACTTTGAAAATAGGGAGAAGGGGGGAGGTGAACACATGTCTCATCGAAATGAATTGTTTTCTACAAAGTATAACTTTCCTACGCGACTCCTTTTCGAGATCAGTGGTTGGAGGGAATGGGGCGGAACGGGATGGTAAAAATATACCCATTGGCGATGTCAAAACTTGCAGTGCGAATATCTCGAGAATTGAATCTAGGGGGCGCTCATACAGACATTTGAATGATCGTAAAGTGACTCGTGGTTCGGTCTGGATAGTGATTATAGGCGGCTCGTCGGTGTCCCTCGGATACCGGGCGACCTCCGAGTGGTCGCCTCTTTCCTTCGGTAAGGGACTGACAGCCATGGTGGGGAAACAAATAGACATATTGGGGCTAAAACATAGATAAGAGCCTGAGCTACATGCAACACGTCCAAAAAGCAAGAAGAATGGCTGAACAACTTAGCCGGTTGATGGCGAATACGGGGGGACCGAATGAGTGGAAGAGAAGGTGCTAGCCTCGGCGGTCGATAGCGTGATACTATATGGATGCGAGGTGTGGGGAAGAGTAATAAAAACAAAAATGGCCAAGGACGTGGTGGATAAAGTCCAGAGGAAAATGACCTTAAGGCGTATAGGACAGTATTAAATAAGGATCTATTTGTAGTGGCCCGCACACCTCCGCTGAGGCTAAAGGTCTGGGCGAGATAGAAGGGAAGAATATTAAAGACGCACTAATTGCATGGAAAGAAGAGTGGGAGGAACGAGAGTCGTGGACGAAGGGACTGATAGACAATCTAAAAAGCTGGGTAGGAAGAAAGCACGGGGAAGTTAACTATTTCCTCACACAGTTTCTGACCGGGCATGGGGAGAATGGGTTTTACCTGAAATCGATAAGAAAAAGAGAGAGCGATACCTGCGTAGATTGTGGTGAGCTGGACGATGCAGGACACGGAGTGCTAAATTGCCCTAGGTGGGAACGTGAAAGATACCGGGTCCCTATCAGGGTAGGGGAAATGATAGAGAAGGAAAGCATAGTGAAGATAATGTTGGAAAGCGAAGAGAAATGGAAAATAATTGCCCACCTGATTGAAAAGATAATAGGCACGCGAGAAAAGGAGGCGAGGTAATAAAAGGGATTAGGGAAAAACCCCTCTGGAAGAATGCCTTAGCGATACCCAGAGGCGGAGTTTTCCAAATTGCAAGGGAGAAGGGGTGAGAGCCCCACACTACCGCCGGCCGACAGATACAAGGCGGCGATGTGCGGTAGGAACATTCCCTAATTCCCTCTCATCAAAATTTAAAACAAAGAGGGACTGGCAGCCAAGCCTTGGGCAAGCGGCTCTGCCCAGGTGAGACCGCATTTCCGCACTACTCGTGAGAATTGTGAGGTCGACTATTCAAACAAACCCTTTCTGAGCTCCTCGTAAGGGGACCACCCAGCCGGACGCTGAAAAGGGGTCCGGTAACCGGGCAGACTCCTTGAATGAGGGGACCGCTCCAGGGCGGGGTCTTATTCAAGGACTTGGTGATGGATCAGCTCCTATTCGCAAGAAGAGTAGGACTGGTCTACAAGGCGATGGGCAGGAAACACGGGCTCGATGGTAAGACCTCGGGTCATTGACTCAGGAGACAACCCGACGTCAGAGACCAAGCGTCTCACATCGGAGGGAATCACTCCAGGTTCTGGCTCACGGCAGCTTGAGAAGAGGCGTAGAGCTTCTGGAGCACCCAAGGTTACGGGTGCACCACGAACCTATGGGCTCAGGGTGGCAATTGGTTCCGGTATCACACTCGGAGGTGGATTCTTATTATTATGACTTCATTGAATACAGTTGTCGAGTTGACGAGTTTCTCAAAGTTCAGACAGACGTCCCCTAGGATACGGGCTCCCGGATGACAGCATCTTTAAACGCCTCCAGGGGCAAAATCCTTATTTCAGGACGAGTCTATGGAGGACGTTCTCCCGCAGGGGAGAGCATGGTAGCGTCCTCCTCGCATTTGGTGTCGATGAGGCATCTTATTAGGCACTCCAGCGGGTTTCTCGGCCTCCGTTTGTGACGAAAGCGAGCGGGCGTCCCGGCTGCGCCAAAAGAGAGAGCTCTACCTGAGCAGCGGAACCCAGTGCCCTTGCGACGGAGGACGCCCCTATGACATGTCAAAGGATCACAGGCCTATTGGCCTATCATCGTTTCTTCTAAAACCTAGGAGAAACTGGTGAATGCATAAATAGGAATAATGTAGACTGGATCCAGACCACTGCATCCGTTCCAACATATTTTCAGAGACGGCTCTACACAATCTCGTGTGCAGACTGAAAAGGAAATGCCTGCGGGAGGGGGAGGGGGTTAGGCTCTGGGAGCGTATTTAGATATCTCCACGTTCGATTTTAATTAGTGCTTCTCCCTTGGTCAAAATAGGACCGTGTTTCAGGCAGAGATGTTAACCATCATGACCTGTACACAGGAGAACCACCGTAGAGGTTGCCGTTATAAGCATATATACATACACATCTAGTGACAATCAGGCGACACTGAATGCCCTGTCAGCAGACAGGTTCCGATTGGCTATGACGACGCTTGATTGCAGGCGAACTCTAGATAGATTAAGTGATGGTCTCATAGGGAAGCTTGATCTGGGTGCCAGCGCACTGTGAAATAGAAGGCAACGAAAGGGCGGACGAACTGGCTTGTGAAGGCAGTGGTGGGGTCTTCGTCGACCCTAGAAACTGCGCCCTCGGCTGTCAGGGCCAGGATTAAAGACTAGGTGACCAATCAATTCCAGGCTCGGTGGCAACAAACAACCGGACTCAGACTGATCGGAGTCCCCGGTGAATAGAATAGAATAGACCACACAACAAATTACTAGTACATCTTTAAATACGAAATATAATGTTAGTCCAACCAATGGGATTACTGAATTTAAATGTCATAACCTCAATCATGAAACAAAATACCCCAGATCGTTCATTTAGATTCGCTTCTTTACAATAAATACAATACAAAATCCTGTTTATGCAAATGGTTCTCATAGATCGATTTCTTTAGGAATATCAAAGTTCTTTTTAAAAGTTTCCTTTCAATTGAGCTAGTCGGTGCAACCCACATTTTTTTAAAGTCATCACTTCAAAGTTACAATTGCCGCTCAAACGTCGGGTTTAAAAAAAGAGAATCGTTACAATACCGACTTTCTAATAATGTTTGGTAGTTTGTCCCCTTCACCTCTTGATATAATTAAAGCAGCACATTTTGTCTTACTTGTTTTAGGTTTTCAGAGTATAATTTTCATTATCATCTCTCTATCCAGTATCAATCTAAGTCAAGTCGATTTCCTATGAATTTTAGAACTTTGCTACATTGTTAGTTGGTTTTTGCACTGCAACCCTCAGTAGCATAATTTTTGTTGTTGAATTATTTAAGCAGCAGGTATATTTTGTTGCTGACTAAGTTTATAAAGTTGAAATGACTAAATAACGTGAAGGTCTCTCCAGCATTAAATTTCTGAACGTTTGAAATAAATTTGAGGTAATATTTTCTTCCAGATCAATTTGCATGGGGTTAGTGACTGAGTTCACGTTAGCAAATTCGCCAATCTTGGAAGCAAATGAGCGTATATTCAGTGGTCCTCATTTTATCAGAATCCGAATTTATTATGGATTCTGGAGTTGAAGGTTTCATTGGGAGGACAATATCCCCGGGGGCAAATTATATATCTGCTAAAAACCGATTGATAATCGTCAAGTGTTAATTAAACGAATAAAAGGTCAATTACTTACATCCTTTTGAGTCAATGGCTCACAAAGAACTTAATTCAACACGAGTTATCGACCGTACTGCTACGTTTCATTCTATTATGTACGTTTGGTGCTTTTCGGTTTTATTTGCAACAGCTTCGGGATGTATCCATACAAAGTGGTATGATATGTACTTCTCAAATCACTTTGGAAAAAAGCTAATTGTAGGAATCCACTAAGCAACGACAAACACTTAGCGGTGTTGATCCTAGCAAGAGGTGGTTCTAAAGCGATACCGTTAAAGAACTTGGCGAAGGTAGGCGACAAGAGTTTGCTGAGCAGATCACTTCAGGTTATTTTGGAAGTGGCGGCATTTGATTCGGTTTGGGTGTCGACTGACAATTTCGCAATTTACGAGGAAGCCATAAAAAGTAAGTAGAATTTTAGCATTTTGAAAATATAACGGCGTTGGTTTACAGATGACGTGAACGTCCATTGGAGATCGGCTAAATCGGCAACGGATGAAGCCCCATCAATTTTAGCCGTACAAGAATTCCTAATCGACCACCCGTACATAGACGCCGTTGCACTGGTGCAATGCACCTCGCCCTTTTTGAAGGGAACGTACTTGCAGCAGGCGGCCATGTTACTCTCTGGGAGTGATTGTGTTTTTTCGGTGACAAGGTGCGTAGAAACACCACGCGCGTTCGGCCGCTAACGCTGAGTACTTCAGGTCGCATAACCTACGGTGGAAGACAATAGAAGGAGAATTGGTCCCGTTAAACTTTGATCCAAAGCGCAGACCACGTAGGCAGGATTTCGGAGAGTTTGTAGAAAATGGGATGTTTTATTTTAGTACCAGAAGGCTAATTGAAAAGGGATACCTTCAAAACTTACGGTAAATTTGCATTAAAGGAGTAGTGTAGGCTTAAGTAATCATACAGAATGGAAGGTTAAGCTAGGCGATAAATTTGATCCATTTAGCTTTAATAGTTAACTAAACTACGACGGTGGTACAACAATTTTCAACTCTCCCATATGAAAGCGAGGTTTCATCCAATGGAACCTCCTTCACATTCCACACCAGTAAGTAGAATCATCTCTTTCCTCAGCGCTGTTGTTTTTACCAAAATATCCCCCTACTTATTTGATGAAAATACACAGAAAACAGAAATGTTCCTCCTCTATTTACCAAAAAAGAATCTCTAAGCTAAATAAACACGTTAAGGTCTGTACGCAATAAACGTCAATAATTATCTATAAACATTAAAATAAACAGCCTATCCTATCATCAACCGACAGCACTAAAATCAACCCCAGGAGTAGGCAGATTGAGACCTAGGGCAACTCACCATTTCCGTACCGCTACTACTACCATCGAATCTTGTATCTACTTACTCTGTACATACGTTGTTCTTGTCTTTTGACTGTGTATATAGTGTAATATATGTTATTTAAACCGCCACGTTATTCCACCCGGTAACACACTTGTTACACACGTTGCCGATGTACAAGAAGAGGATGCGACACCGCCAATGGCTGCAGTGCCAGTGATCACCGAGTGGGTGGGTTTATAAGCAGCCCCAAAACCAACATCAAATCACTGGATTAGGTTAATCCTTCTTCCCTTCGCAAGCTCCTGAGACTTAGAGGTGGGACTCGAGTAGCGCTTACCATTTGCTTCAAGAGACGCTGTCTACCTTCCGAGCAGTGTTTAACAAGAACAACAGGTCATCCACCCCCGTGCATCATATACAGTTGAACGACAACACGCCTTTCCGCATAGCCCGGTACCGCGACTAGCCGGAATAGACTCGTATCCAGCTCGCGGACTAGATCATCGATCCAAGCGCCTGGACTATCTACGCCTGGCCCTCAACCGTCTCCAACAACACAATTTTATCCACGGACAAGTGCCAGCTGGGGATGACAACTCTGACACTTATAGTGCCTAGCGGTGATGTAGGCGATCAAACAGACGCACCGACAGCCGTGCCCAAAATAGACACTCGCGCCCGAAACTGCCTTCGCTGATGTTGGGTAGGTATATAATTAATAGACTAGTGCCTGAAGGGTCTCGCTCAACTCGTAATATGCTTCTATAACAGATACGATACTTAATCGGCCAACCTCTCCAGAAGGAAGTGATGGACTCCCACAACATTCACGTTTCAAACTCGATCATGACTTAACCGAGATGACAAAGATATTAAATAGGTACTAATGTTAACAAATTATTTGAATGTGATAGGATTTACCCCAGAAGGGGCCAAATAGTAACTAATACACTAGAGAGTTACGGAAGTTATTTTTTTGTTGAGAATCGAATCCCGATATCAAATCTTACTCATGACCCAGAAAATGGCCGCTCGTATGCGAAAATGGGGATGTCTACATTAGACGATGCCCAACTGGCATCCCCGTCGAGCGCTGCTATAACCCTCCGGACGCAACTCATAGGGAGGAACCCCAGCGCCTGGGCAACATCGCCACAGCAGTAACAACAAGCCGTGCCTAATTTACGACCTACTCAGGCATGGAGAATGGAAAGGTCGGGGACAACCACTCTCCCGAGGGGAGGGGCGAGGCAATACAAACGATCCATAGAAAGCAAGCTCGATACCGCAGCAGCTGCGCGACCATCGACGGTATCTCAAGGAAGCCGGCCCGCATCCCGGCCACCAAGTCCCGTTCCGTCCAATCTACGAGAAGACTAAGAGGAGACACGCAGCATAGACCAACTCACAACACCCACCGAAACAGACGATGAATCCCAGGAAACACCACCGACCATCAACGATGGCCCCTTCAAGGCAAACATCACTACCTTCCAATAGGCGGAAAGACGCTCTAGAGCCAGTTTACCGTAAAACTCGAAATTTTGATCTGAAACATATTTCAGATATCTTCCTAAAATTAAAACCACAAAATGTTTCCTTACAGGCCCAAAACATCATCGACCACGCGACCAAAACTTGTCAAATCTCACAACGTGATTAAATTATAGCACCTATGAAGGCATGCCAATAACCTTTGTCTCGTTTGACTGATCGTGCACCACAAACAAGGTCACTCCTTAGTTACCTCACCGAGAAATCCCTTTTTCCAGGGCCACGGTGGTGGTATTACTAATTTTGAATGTTTTGCGTTGATTCAGAATTTATTTTCTATAATAATTGGTTTTTTTTATATACAGTACGTTCGAGATTAGAGGGTCACCTCAATATCTCTTTTATTTGCCGAGATACGAAAATTTTTCAAGCAAAGTTGTATACCTATGTGATATTACGATTTATCCAAAGGGCAAAGTATATTAAAATTTCCGGTATGACTTCCGGTTTAACCGGACATTGATGCAACTTTTGTTTTTTTAATGCCAATGTCTATGTTTTTTAAGATATTTGAAGAGTAATCCATTTTCTGTACATCAAATATGCGTATGGTTGATTTACAAAAAAATTGAGATATTCGTGATACAATATTACCTCTTCCACCTCTCAGTCTGTGGTAAATGTCTCGTAGACAATTTTACGCTTTTCCTTTCCCTCTTCGACCTAAGTAGAGTAAGTAAAAATAGTTCAATGAACTTTAAGGTAAACAGAAGACGCAAAGAACAAACAAATTCCCACGTATGTACATGACAGAAAAAGGAAAACATTTACATCGCCAATTATGCTGACAAATAGCGAAATGTAGGAGGAGCCTAGGATTCCACTCAAATTGAGACGTGATAAATGAGTTGCCTACCCATTTGTTTTCCTTTCAACAATTTATTACCGTATTTACAGAACTAATAAACAGTTTGTAATTATTTTAGATAAGTAAAGTGGCTGACATACATGCGCGCATTTATAAAATAAAGTTTCGCACTCAGTTCTGTTTGGAAAGGGAAAGTGAAAGTATACCTAACAGGTACCTACTAAGGACGGAACTAGTCAATGGTAAGTGCGCGAAACGAAAACCAGTTTAATAATTAATGCGTTATGTAATGTTATTAGTAGATAACCAAAAAAAGTACGTGCATTATGTCAACACAGTGGTCAGTGAAGCGTGATATTAATTACGCGTCATATCAACTTTTTGATAAAGTATTCCCAAAGAGAGTGATTATTCAATTATCAACTATCCGGCCTCCCTCTCCGTTTGAATGTTTTTCTAATTTAGTCGCGTTTTAGTTGTGCGATTGTTGAAATACCGGAGGAGGACCGTTTCGAGATCGATACAAATTGGGACCTACTTTTGGCGAACGCCATCGATCTTCTCAGGAATGGCAACCGACTTTAGCGCAGGTACGTTTGTTCGTCGTTAGTCAGAGAGGGTGATGTCACCGAAAACTTTAGGAAAGATCCCGCCGATGTACCGCGAGATTTTCGAAGCGTGCTCTTCCGATGGGGATCCGATACACAGGGACATTTTTCGGGACCTGCTCGCCTGTGGAAATCTCGACAGCGCGACGTTGAAAGTCATTTGGGATTTGACTGGCCCCGCTCAGGGACCGATCACAAGGACCAATCTGTACAAGGCACTTTCCTTAATTGGTTGGGCGCAAGAAGGGAAAGTCCCTTCGACGAAGCTTTTCGAAAATTTTAGCGCGAGAGGTAAGCGCGATCAGTTAAAAATACCACAAATTCCGAGGTGGCCATTTCAGAATATCCGACGCCGCGCCTACGCGATTTGGCGTGCATCAGTAATGCAAAGGCCCAAATCCACGCGCAAGCTAGTTTGAACAAACTGGGGGTGTCCTATAATGACATCAAACAATTAGATACAATAAATATCGACTTGGTGCCCGAAAAGAAAGGTCTTATCCTAAAATACTCTGAATACCTGGTGTCTTCCAGAAGATTTGGTTCGAAAGTCACGAGGAGATATAACGACTTCTTTGCATTATACGAGTTGCTACTGGCTAGATTTCCTTACAGGTATTTAAAAATTAACGATTATTATTCCCAAGGCTACGTAAACTACTGTTTTATGCATATTATGTTTATACCAGTAATTGTGTGGGAAAACTACTTTGCGCCACGACAGTGGCGTAATCTGGCGTCAATTATTATCAGAGTGTAATTCTATTTTTAAAATGAGCAACATTAAAATTATCGCATTCATGCAATAAATATGAATAGTAAAAGTAATTCTATTTAAATACCCGGTATCTGTAGCGGCGATATGCGTTTGAGCACGTATCCTGTGGTACTGTTGGTACCAAAAATTAGGGACGACAAATAGAAATATTGCAGCAATTTATTGCATGCATTACGCTTTTGTCATCTCCTGGTCAAAATGCACTTCTGAAGCATACAAGGGAGGTCTTTTGACATTTTTCTTTTATCATAATAATTAGGATCACTCAATCACTTGGCCATATGCACGTGAGAAAGAAGTATATATTTCAAAAGCTGCCCTGTTACAGTTCAAAGCTTAAAACTGTTCGGTTTTTCGCTTATATCTCGGAAACTATGCGTCCTACCTACACATAGTGAGTACTGGACGTTTAAATAGCACAGATAGGTACTCCTTTTAGAATATATACGGAGTGCGTCAGAAAAGATCGATGGATTTAAAAACATGTATAAATTGTGCACAACTCGTATGCAGATTGCGAATTTTTTTAAACCGAAATATCGTAGTAAGTAAATGGTCCGGTTATAAGGTAGTAGCATGGTATCGATGTTTACTTTCTTGGTAGATGATTAATAGGGAGACCGCCAGGCATATATTCAAAATCCTCCAACACTCCATTCTACAGATATTTGCACTGAAAGCTTTGACATCACCAATATGTATATTTGTGTCGTCCTGACGTTCCACTTGCCTTTTATGGGTACCCTCTTTCGACACTTCGTTGTCAAGGTATTTGCTTCGACTTCACCAATAGATATGTTTCGTCCAGTCGATTCATTTTCCATTTGAAAATACTTTTCTCCGACAAACCGTTTTCGAGACATTCGCTCTTAGTTCTGACATCACCAATGGATATATTTCTTCCAGACGTCCCAATCTCCCTTTGTTAGTACCCTCTTCCGGCAATCCGTTCTGGAGATATAACGAAATATATCCGATCACGATAAGGGGTCGAGGAGGAGAATTATGGTTGGTAGAAATTAATTTCTTTCGTTGAGACCTTTCATTAGAGTACCATGAAGGACAAAACCAGTTCCACTCCCTCCGACCCCTCCTCTTTTGATAAGGACTCAGAAAGAAGAGCGGTAGTAGGTATAAAACAGTTCCTTTCGTTGAGACCTTTAATTAGAATACCATGAAAGATAAAATTAATTTCAACCTCCCCCCCCTCCTCTTTCATTGGAATACCATGAAGGGTAACGTGTGTCTACACCCCTATCAACTATCCGGCCTCCCTCTCCGTTTGAATGTTTTTCTAAGTTAGTCGCGTTTTAGATGTGCGATTGTTGAAATACCGGAGGAGGACCGTTTCGAGATCGATACAAATTGTGACCTACTTTTGGCGGCGTAAGAAAAACACACGAAACTTCTTCGTCTCTTTCAAACGCGCTATACCCCACCAAAATCGGACCACCCCACCCGCAGTACGAGCCGTTCAAAAAACATCCATCCTTGGAATTTTTACAATACGGAGAGGGAAATTCCGAGACGCTCGCCTTCAAAAATTACAACTTCTTTAATCAATTACTGAGCCTGCAGTTATCGGAAAAATATCGATATCAAACTTCAAGTTTTTTAAGTGCGCTTCTTTTGAGCTCAAAGAGACGGATTTTTCTGTAACTTATAAAATCAATTGCAACCTATTACACTCACTTGCCCCGCCGGACGGAAGTTTCGAAAAATGGAGCTCCAACTGACACCCCATCGTCTCCTGCAATATGGAGTTCAATCGGCGAGGTCAAAACAGCAAGATGTCATCTGCAAACGCACGGCCTTCTATTCTTAAAACCGCTTTTCTATACTGTTTTACTTTGGAAAAGTAAAATCGATTAATCAGTAATTACCGGACCTAAGTAATAAGATTCATTATCTCTCTTCTTCTCTGGCAAGAGAGCTTTCGGCGACGGTAAAAACAATTTAAAAATTCCTACAGGAAAGTTTGCAAAACGGACAATTCACTACTTAACTTACATGCGTCATCGACGGACAACAAACAATTAAACAAAATGAAAACACAGAAAAGTCTCTCCTAGATTCCTAGAGCAAATAAGTAACTTTAGAACTTCCTTAGTAACGAAGCGCCAAACTTAAAACGGTTCTAGGAAAAGGTGTCGACTCCACAAATATAAGGTGTGGACATAACTTCGGGTATAAAACTGCAGGGCGGAAAACGGGTGCCTCGTTACACCCCCTCTGTTCGAACGTTGGTCTAGCTCCTGTGTTGAGTTAAACCATATGGCCTCAGCCAACTCGGACAATATAGCTCTACTTGATCCATTCATCCTAATGACGCTCTGGAGGTCGACTAGCTGCATCTCGAGTTGAGCCGTCGATACGTTTGGAGTCATATAAACACTGTATACTTCCACCCCACCTAACTAAACCTGATCCGTTTCCAACCCTATCTACGCTTACACTACCTCTAAGCAGTCTTACTAAACCACTAGTGTCCCTGAACAAATAATATCTGTGCACTTTCTTCCCCACCTCGGATAGCGCCAAAACGTTCCTTTCTCTTTCTTTGGGCACCCGCACAGCCATATCAAGGGCCTACTTCTATTTAAGTTAATTTGAAAAATTTGGTACCCCATGGTTTGGTTGTAATTCACCGCTGGTGAACGTTCTTTTTTCTGTCCTCCAGCTGTTTCTCACCGCCCTCCCCTAATGCTTCTTTGATCGCCAACCTCACGTCTCCTTTGGTGGATATTTCGTCTAACTCTCCCATCGCCACCTATTCTCCTCTCTAACTCTACATTGGGCCCATACCCAGGGTTCACATACGAGTTTCTCTTGGACGGAATTCACTCCTTCCCTTTTTTCCGTACTGGCGACTAGCTTAAGGTGCCCATCTTTTGTCTGGTGTGGAGCCCTTAACGACGCATTTTCTTCGAGTGCCTTTCTGGCACCTTACAGAAGATCAGCGTATGGTTTAGACATATTTTGAGGAGTATGGCGATTGAATCTCTTTTTTATCCTATTGCAACTTGGTTGTTGGTCCGTCAATCATATAATCAACGCTCTTCTTAAAGCATTCCGCAATCTTTCGTGTTATCTCCCCGGTTTGGGTGTTGGTGAAGATCTTCAGGCTATTTCGCTTGACAGCCAATCATTTATTCGCTGCCTTCGTTGTCGTCTCGTAAATGCTTTTGGCGACCTCTTGATCATCGTTGCTCTCCAGAGCTGCCAGGATCATTCCCTCCTTTTCATCGTCTTCTCCTTTTTCCAGTATCGCTACCGATTCTCTAAAAGTGGTGGTACCACATTTTAATGTCTGCACTCTGTTCATTGCCCCTTGGAACTCCGGGTGTCCTCTAATCATGCCCTGATCTCATTGCCCTCAAGCTTCACCTTAATTATTTTGATGAACGTGTTCTGTTCGGCAGAAAATCAACTTTTTTGACGGTTATGTCGGTGTTTTCGGTGAAATGGATGTCAAACAGACTTTCTGGGTCGATAGCGCCTTTGATGCTCTGCTGCTTTCGTACTTGAGGTGGATGAGGAATAGCTGTGAAAGACTACAGTACATGGTGGTCCAAGTTGGACAGTTTCTTATAGAGCACCCTTTATTTTAAGAGACAAAAATGGGACCAAGGTGTCAGGAGCTTAATTTTAAAGAGAAAATCACTGACACAAACAGAATTCGGCTATCTCTAATCGCTTGGCCGATGGGGGACGTTTCTCGATTCTCGATTTCTTTAATGCATCATAATTTTCTTATTATTAAAGATAATTCATTTTTTTTATGTAGAATCCATCGCGATTCACAGTTTTTATACAAGGTGTTTGGTTTTTCTTATACGGCCCTAAACAACATTTTTTCATATGGACCACCCTATATATTTTTTGATGTATCATTTGTTTTATTTATATTAAATGTTATTTGCAATGTTGCTTTTTATACATTAAAATATTTGTACTGCATACATCTAGGTTTCCATGTGGAACGAACGATGGCAGGATTGTTTAAAATAACAATTTCTTGGTTATTTGGAAATTTTTATTAATTCCAAATATTTTTGATTTCAAATAACACACAAAAAATAAAAGACGTTCAAAACTCATGTGAATAAAACAAATGAGTGATATAATATATAAATCAATAATGCATATTACCACGAAATTGCCGTTTTAAACAATCCTGCCATCTTTTGTTCACCATGGAGACCTAGATATCTGCAATAAAAATATTTTAATGTATAAAATGCAATATTAAAAATAATATTTAATTTAACTATAGTAATTGATAAATCAAAATTTAGGAAATTTTACACTATTTTCAAAAACTCTAAAATATACAGGGTGGTCCATATGCAAATATGTAGTTTAGGATCGTACAAGAATAACCGAACACTCTGTGTAAACACTTGTGTATCGCGATGGATTCTACATAAAAAGTGCTCTAAGGAAAATTTTGCCAAAATCAATTATCTGTAATAATAAGAAAGTTGCGGGGCATTAAAGAAATCGACTAAATTCGAGAAACGCCCCCTAGCGGCAAAAGGATTACATATAGCTGAATTCTGTTTGCTCCAGTAATTTTCTCTTTAAAATTGAGATCCAAACGCCTAGGTCTATTTTTTTCTGTCTCTTAAAATAAAGGGCGTTTCCATAATAAAGTGTCCATGTGTCCAAGTGGATGTACCTTTCACGGATTGTCGATATCTTAGCACCTCTAGAACTCGCACCCTGTAAAGCGCACTGCAGTGCAGGTCTCTGCCAAAGAAACGTAGCGCTCCGAGAGGGATAGCTCGGAAAGGGTATTTCTGGCAATCTCTAAACGCTTTGCGTATGGGAAGCTGATCATTAATATGTTCAAAACATATCACATCGGCTACTCTGATCGTGGCGTGGTAGCGGACGGAGCGCGCGTTCCGGTATTAGTATAGTTCAGGGGTCCACAGGAATCTTTTCGTCCTTGATTTTGATCGATGAGCTCACTGTCGAAAGGGGCAGAACTCGAACTTTTCGAGCCAATTTAATGTTAGAAAATGCCATTGACCATTGTCGCCATTGCTCACTTACCAACTGAAACGGCATTGTAGCCAGTGATCGTTGTACCTTCAAGTCCTGTCGCGATATGATGGTCTCTTGAAATGGAGGAAATTTCTCAAACTAATCGGGGAGCTTGGCATGCTGCTCACTGGCGGAAAATCGAACTACACCAAACTCTTCTACAGATGTGAAGATATCACTGAAGTGGCTGTCGTTAACAAAGTGGTGGTGGTGGTCTCGAAAACGAATCGACTGATTTTAAAAAAATCAAACGTCAAAATAAAGGACTTCGAAAGACCTTTCAAAAAGCTATTAGTCGATACCACTTACCATTTAAAATTGTCAAGGAAATGGCCCTGTGGGGCAAAGGATGAAAGAGGGTGAAGTAGTTTTTGGTTAAAAAGTTGTCCCACTTGACAAATATTTTGACGTGTCTCGGCGTGTTTACCTTTAATCAGTGGTTTTCGATATATCCGTGGTGTGAGATTTTCAAATGAACACTCTGTATAGTAAACGGAAAGTTTCTGCAAAAAATGACGGAACGTTCTCGACGAATCTAGAAGGCGGACCATATTAAAAAAAAAATGCGTCGCATCCGCTTTCATTCCTTATCGTCAGTGACTAATCTTTTATCGACTTGATGGCGCCCCTATGCCTGGGCATAGAGTAAAATTGTTCATTCTACAAAGAGGTGTTTCTATTCCTAATTCAAGGAATATCTCTGTTGAAAAATATTGCAAATTTCATTTCAAGATCACGATGCTGAGTATGGAACATTGCATTTAGTTTTCCCACTCTAATCAAATCAAATATTTAATTGTGTTAATAAGTACATACACTTTTACACAGTGTAAACTCTATTAAATGACTGTATCAGATTAACTGACCACATGTCAATAAGTTTAATAATCAGTCAAGGGCTTTTATGGTTTAGAAGGTAAATTATAATATTGCATTTCACAGGGTCGTCCCGAGACTTCCCCCCAAGAAAATTTTGGTCCTAGATTCCCACTTTCTCGAATCGAGAAGAAGGGCGCTTCAAAGGTGGCTGACGCTGGTCTCACGTCATCCCACGATTTGCCACGATTCGATCGTATCATTTTTCCTAACGGACCTCGGTCCGGACCTGCAATACCGCATTAGGGATGTTTTCCGTCGCGTTCCGGACGAGTTTATGACTTCGGACCTGGCCGCGACCGCGAAGGTACTAATTTTCGCTCGTAGATTTCAGGAATAGAGCTTCTGTTTTAGAATCTCCTACCGAACGACTGTTCCGAGTTCGCCAATAATCGCGAGCAGGTTCGCACGTTGGTGCAGGTTATAAGTCGACTGAAACAGCTCGCCGATGCCGACGTCGAACGAAGCCAGGCCTATGCGAGAGACTCGGAAGAGATGGCCAACCAACTTAAAATGCTCGCCGGTATAAATCCGGAGCAGCTGACGAGCGGTCATTGGAAGCACATGCAGAAGGGCTTCTCCTCGTTGTCGCAGTAGGTTTTCGAGACAAAGTCGGGTTGTGTTCTAGACGAGTATATTTTTAGGGAGCTGCTATCGGTACCCAGCAGGACTAATTACCACGCGAGTGCGGGACAAATTTCGGTTTGTGAACGGCTGGGGTTGCTTTTGGAGGTTCTCGTTGGGCATAGAGATTTATGTGATAGACTGGAACGTGGCTTGGCGCACGATCACCAAGCGGCTTTGGCCAAGATGCTCTCTTTAAAGAAGAGAAGGATACAAGGTGTTATACGAGGCACAGATGTAAGTACCTATACTGCTCGCTGGTACCTCACTAATTGATTTTCCAGAGCGAAAGTGTCGAACAACTGGAGGCGAGAATGTTGGCGCAAGAAAATATTATATCCAACATGGAGTTGAGATCTGACTTTAGCCTCTACTGTGTTCATATGGAAACGCAGCTAGTGCACGCTTACTTGGAGACACTATCCGCAATTTTTAACAATTTCGTTTGCTTGCATACCCGAGCTCATAGCGAGGTAAGGAAGTTCTACAGTGCAGTCCATATTAACATAACTCTTTAGCTCGCAGACCTATGGAAGGAGGTGCGCCCAACGGTTGAAAAGTACTTTTGTATCGATGAAACTGAAATCAATGGTGCTAATTTTAGCTAGCGTGGAACGATACATCCATCTTATTTGTTCGGGAATGATTCTTACTTAATACCTTATGATATTTTATAAATAAACTATTTATGTACCTATTCGTTGTTATTACTAGGTATATATTTTATGGATTGTTAAATAAATGTTTTTAACTATTTGGAATGGTTTTTGGAAGTGCATCCTTTACTGCTGGAAGAACAATTTTATTGCACAGAAATGTTTTTACTACTAGCTTACCTACCTTACCCTAGGAAATGTAACAAGTTTGTAACCAGGATGAAGTAGCAGAGGTAGCATTTTTCTAAGTGGGGCTTAAGAAAAAGAAAGATCACAAGATTATTATCCAAAAATAATTAAATTGGGTTGCACCAACTAATGTAACGGGTGACCGCTTTGCAATTTAAAAAATACTATTGGAAAAATGTCTGAAAATGATAATTGCTGTTAATGAGTTTTATTTTCTAATTCTTCATAACAAATTTTATATTGTTGCCACACAAGTAAAGTCACTAAATATAGAAAGTACCGCAATCCATTGGGCTCGTGTGTTAGAGAGAGAACGCATGATGTTTGCCCAAAAATGGCGGAAGTTACCAGATTCTAGTAACTTTAATGTTGGGGATTGCTCCACCTGTTTGGAGATATCTGTATATAATTTTCAATGAATAAAGAATACCAGGAAGGAGCATTAATCAAGTTGTATACGAGAGAGAGTGCGACGGAAGTCGGCCATTTGCAAAAGCCACTTATGAGTCATTTTTGTTGTGGCTGTTGCAGTGACATAAAAAGAATGGTTAGTTGTTGTGCTTGTGATTGCTCCAAAACAGAAAAAAATAACACTTTGGGAATTACATTTCATGTGTAAGTATGAATACCAAAATTATTTTTATATAGTACATGCAAATTTACAAATTTTTTATCGGAATGTAGTTTGAGGTTAGTTAAACAAAAGTCATAGGCGGAGTAGACACATGGGGGTTTAGATTGTTTTCGTGTAAAATTCTTTATAATTGTATCCTTCTACAACTGTAAGGTAGGTACGCCACTGGAACAGGAAACTACTGTCCGCCATTTGCAAAAGCCATCGCGGTCGCACGTATATTGTTGATATTCTCCTTCCTGGGTATTCTTTATTCATTGATAATTTTATAAAACATGACAGCACTATGAAGTTAGGTTATAAAAAATTACAACTATTCAGATTTTATTTGTCAATTTTTTTAAGTTGGCAGCAAATTTGCCTAAAAATGGCGGATGATTGCGGTACTTTCTAACAAGTATATTGCTGTCTTAGACTATGAAAGAACGGGGACTGATAATATCTTATCAAGGGCAATGCTGCGCGTTGAAGCCTGGGGCGGCCATATTTTCGGAGCCAAAATTTGTTTAATTTTTCATTTTCGTGATTATGCGATCCTTAAGTCTCGAAATGTGCGATTAAAAACATTATTGGACAATGGTACATTGTAGTGCACGGAAGTAATAGCCAAAAAACACGAAAGTATTTCGTTTCACAGGTATAAATTTGAGGTTAGTTTTCGGTGGAATAACAAAGAAATGTGGGCTTCACTTTACGATCATTATTATCACTTCTCATTCTTTCCTTCTCTAAGATTGCTGTGACACCTCGTTTCAGTTTGCGTAATTATTTTGTGATGTCAAAAGGACCGTTTTTAATTTAAGTGAGTGTAGGTCATTATTAGATAAAAAATGAGAAATTATTGTTTTTATTTAAATTGATAAATCATTGTAACATGATTTTGTATTATTATATAGATCATATACTGGGCGACCAGGTAGTGCACACAGCAATATCATTGTTTTTATTGTGATTAAGATTTACATGAGACGCTAGTAGACAGCAAGTAAATTCTTACCCTGATCTGTTAACTTTTGAGGGTTGAAAAGATTGCAAATGGCTATCGTTTTCTATGTACAATTTACAAAAAGTAAAACAAAGTCGCCAACATACCACAATAATATATTAGTAGATCTCACGAGTTTGTATAGGGGCAACTTATAAAAAAATACAAATGTGGCCCTATTTATACTAATGATGAGATCTGTGATTAAATAAAGAAAGAAGTTAATGATAAACAGAAATTAAATTTAACATGACAATGGCAACATGACAGTTTTCAATATATGTGTTATTATTTTACTATCACTCTCATAGCAACACATTAACATTCGAACCATTAAGGGCTGGTATTTTGATTTTTCCCACACTTTGAACTTCAAATTGAATCATTTTGAGTTCTTCAAGTGTACACATACTCAACAGAGAACGCACTGAGTCCCATCTCACGGTAGAGCTAACAATTCAGGTTTCAGAGTCCTTGGCTACAAAGACGCGCCTTTGTACACCCACCAACAGTCAATCTCCTCTTATGAATCGGCTTAGAAACTAGATCCCACGTGTGATTTTGAATGAGCTCATTTACCACCTCAATCATTGCCACTATCCAATTTTTGGCTTGAGAACTTTCAATGGCGTCGGTGTACATAGACGGTTCAACTTCATAAACTGTATCATGGTGTAGTACTCTGAGGTTCCACTGACTGCATAGTCTTTCAACTTCCTCGGCATCTTCAATTTGGATCTGTCTCGGAGTTTCCACTGTTGTTTTCCTCCATGTTTCTCGAATGAGTCTTCATTTCTTAGTGTCTTGATTTCTGAAGTTTATCTTGATGGTGTCAACAAGCTTGACCTTAATTCCACAGGCCCTACTGCTAGTAGAGGTTCCACTGCTTATTCTGTTGGTACTACTGGTTCTGGTGCTGGTTGTAAGATTGTGATCTGTTTCTTCTGAATTAGTGACGTCACACCCATATTCGCTTTTACTGCAACAGTATTCAAAGATGGCGATCGACTGCTTTGTTTTCGCCTTTATTTTTAAGTGGGCGGGGTTTCAGCCAAGCTGCTCTACCAACCCAACCCACTATACATTTACAAATGTCCATGCCCGAACCCGGATTCGAACCAGGGACCCTTAGCACCATAGTCCATCTTCTTGATCTTCTTGAAGATCACTTACTCGGCATAGTGACTTCAGATGCCTCCGACATTCATACACGATAACCGTCCTTGTCCCCACAGTACCCAACCAGATAATCTCGACGAACTTTCTTGTCCAATTCCTCCTCTTCTCCTTCGGTACGCGTGTACGTACAAAGCTTTCAGTACCGAATACTTTAAGAGGGCTTATCGCAGGGCTTCTTCCAGTACCAAAGTTCGTATGGCGAAATCACTGGTTCGAGAGACGATCCTGTTCGGTTAATTACCCACGCAGCTGTCATCACAGTCTCCGCCCAAAATTTCTGTGTGAGTCCAGAAGCCTGCAACATATTGTCTGGCCAGGTTCTACCAACGTCCGATTCTCTCGACACCGCCATTTTGTTCTGTTGTATATGGCAGCATATTGCGGATTACCGGGCTGCAGCTGCATCCCCCCCCCCCCCCGACCATCCAGTTTTACTATCAAATGGTAGTATGTATTACTTACAGCGTCAATTCATATAACCCCCCCCCTAGTATTTTTGGTTCAACCACTGCTCTTCTGTGTCTTTTGCCTTTTGAACGTCCTTGTTCACAAATTCAGTACCATTATCAGTCAAAAGCTGTTTCACTTTTTCGCAATTCGATTCAGAATCCGTTCCTTTCAATAAAGGATAGGATAGGACCCTCTTTAGCCTAAGTTGCCTCACCCTCCACGGTTTCAGATAGCTAGGTCCAAGGAATTGGCCAAGGCGTCACAGTGACAGACCATCATGCTCGATAGTTTCACGCCCAATGTTAAACAGCTGATAGTTGATCATCCAGTGCCCTCTAAGGACACCGATGATCTTCATAATCTGGCTTAGAACGCCCAGAACCAAAAGACTCTGTTAAAAAGGCTCTGAAATGTCGGACCGATTCTACAATGCAGGTATATGCCGAGAATAAGCTTTATACGTAGAATAAACGTTGACGGTTGCGTTGGTTTACCATTGCCATACCAACGGGATACTGGCTATGGCAGTTATTCCAAGAGTATCGTATTCTGCGTAAAAGTGTAATTATAGAATCGACCCCGTCCGGTTACTTGTTACCGCTGCTCCTGTAATTGGCTGGTCACCTAGTCTTTAATCCTGGCCCTGGCAACGGAGCGAACAATTCCTAGGGTAGGCTCAGGCCCGACGCGGACCCCACCACTGCCTTCACGAGCCAGCTTGTCTGCCCTGTCGTTAACGTCTCTGCCTGAAACACGGTGCTATTATATGCTAACCAAGGACTAAGCTGACGTCAGCTCTCAGTCGATCACCATACCCATGCGTCTGTAAACCACACGATCCCCTCAGGTTTGAGGAACGGACAATCCGAGTTCAACCACTGCTCTTTGTCCAAGAGAACGACTCTATAACTCTTTGGTCTTATAGTAAGACTGCCCGGATCACATCCCTTCTTGCGAGGAGGGAATCAGATCTGATGTATCTGAGAACCGCCTGTCCTCAAGGCTGCCTCAATCCTTCTACTAGTCCCAATCGTTTATCCGTATGGAAGCCTTCTGAGCCTCTGTCTTCACAGCTAAGTGTAAAGGCTCTAGTCCCAGAAGTGCCCCCATGTCCAAAGTTGGCGTGGTTTTCAGGCCTCCACTGATACCCAGACAGGCCGGACTTTGGACTTTTCCTAGCTGCTTCCTGCACATGGTAGGCCACCATACAAGTCCAGCGTACAGTATTATTGGCCTTATTACTACAATGTAAAGGCAATATACCAGTCGAGGGTTCAAGCCCCATTGTACAACCAAAACCATGCAGTGGCATTTTTGGTTATTGGCTCAATATGCTCTTTCCTATCTATGTCTATGATGACTCCCAAATATTTTACTGACCTGGTCAGACCCAGTTGACGTCCTTGAGGAGTGACTCCATCAAGGTCCGTTCTTTTTCGATTCGTAAATGTTCCAACCTCGTTCTTTTCCGGATTAACGAAATGACCAATGCTATTACACCACTTACCCACCTGATGAAGAGCCACCTGCATGAGCTCTTTCAGGGTGTTTGGAACTTTTCAGTTATCGCGAGATCGTCGACGTATCCTTGTGTATACGCTCCCTCATCGTTCAGAATGCGGAGGAGCCCGTCTAGTAGCACACACCACAGCAGTGGAGACAACACCCCACCCTGCGAGCATCCTCTAATAACCGATAAGCTCATCTCCCTCGTCCCGGTTGAGGATTTCTTTTAGTATAAAAACATCAGCGTTGATTCTGTCACCCGTGGTCGTAATGACCTTCCGTTTTCCGAAGCTCAAACGGTGTATTTTTCTATTAATGCATGCGTCACTCAGGTCTGATTTCAAGCTTCCATACCTAATACTTGTAAATGTAGCAATTCTCACTACTCAGAACCGAATAGTACCCTTAGTCCAGAGCAGATGTCATCGAAAACAATTGTTTACTCACTTCCGGAACTAACCACACCTCCTAAAAAGTGACCCTGTTATAATTTCAATATTGACAATGGCCTTACCAAGCGCATTTATTGATTGGCATTTTACGTATTTTTCTGGAAAACACCTCAAAAATAGAAAACCAATAACCGTTCATGGTCATGTGCCGGGTTGCACCGGAATTGCAACCCAATCATTGGAGGAATCCACAGATTTGATGTTATCCGATTGGCTAACAAACTCAGACCCTTCCTGACTCTTCTCAAACTTCTTGGAATTCTTACAGTGCCGCCTATAATGGCCGAACTCGCCACCGTTGTAACATTTCGGGTCAAACTTCTTTGACCTGTCGCCACTCGCCCCGCCCTTACCGTGACCAATTGTTGGACTTATTTTTACTGGCAAAATAGGCACCGTCCTCAGGAGAACTATTTGAGGAGCTTCTCATTCGGCCGCTGCTCAACAAAATTACATGGACTGCTAATTACAACTAAAATCTGGTCAAGGAAATCGCCTGGGTATGTAAGTTTCAGGGTAAACGAATCTGTCCGAAGTTGTTCGATGAGGCACGATTTGAGAATGTCAACCTTTAAATTTACAAACGTCGAATAATTAATCGCATAGAAATGCCAAAAAATCAAACCCATCTTATTTGTGTTCTTCTTATCTTACGATCCGCGAACTTTGGTCGATGCATCTGTAGTTAGTTCAGTAGATTGCGTTGCCTTACCTTCCACTATGTTCATACTGTGACATACCCAGGCCAGCCCCGAGAGCTGCGCAACTCAAGCTTTAAATTCAAAACTTTCTCTCCCAAACTAACTGTATCCCATGGCACATGATCGTCTAGACAAAGCTACCTAACCTGAATATCTGAATAAAAAAACCTTTCATTCACACATCTCTAGAGCCAGTCCAACCCTCTAGTTATAAAGTGCCGGGTTATAAAAGACCGAACTCCAGGCTCTCCACCATGAGTATCGATAGTAACCGATCAAAAGACAAATCATGACAACAAATTAACCGAGCAAATATAGGCAAACTTGCACGCAGAGATAATACAAATACAATTATAAATTAATACTGTATCTAAATAAAAATAAAAACACGTAAATCGATCAGTAATTCATATTGCGGGTTGGCAAACAAAACCAGCGCTAGGAACAAAGTACTGAAAATTTAAAAACAACATATTTACATACATTCTCTATGCACTCAATTCAAAGTATTGACCGTGTGCTCCGAGTCGTCGGGTCGATAGGAATCATTAAGTTCCCTCGTATAGCGTTATATTTCACACTCTTATGTTAAATTATGGCCCATTTGAATGTAGGGCAGAGAAGAAAAAATACACGTGCTCCACGGAAACGAAACAAAGCCGCAATCTTGAATTTCTTCGAGGCGGCAGGACGGCTTACGGAATATTTAAATCGAATTTTAGCGGGCAAATTCGGTTCCATTTCAATACACTGAGTTTTGACATGGAATTTTCAACAAGTTCTAACAAAAATAAATTCGCGCCCATAACCTGATAAGATCTGTGTTGAAATAAATAAAGAAGTCTTGCACAAATTGAATGGTAAGCAGTTGTAATTATCGATATAAAGAAATATTGTTACTTGATCTTCCCAACTAAATACAAGCTTTGAATATAAAATTCAAAGGTACAAGTGAAAGTTAAGGTTTAGCTTCGTACACTATTACTCATAAGGAAGCGTTTCTTTTTACAAATCTCTAAACTTTAATCATAATCTAATTCACTCTACTTTCCTTGTTCCTACTTTTTGGTATATTTGTGTTTCATCCATTGTACCTTTTCCGCCCATTTTCGAAGTTCGTATGCGTTCTTTGGTGGCACCAATTTTGCATGCTGTAAATCCATTGCCTACTTATTTATTGCTATCTTTGTACCTCTAGGAATAAAAGAAACACAGAAAGCTTTCCATTCTTTTAAAGAAACTACAAATATAGAAAAGTGTATAGGAATGTATAACAAGTTCACTTTTCTTCTACCTCCAAAGCCTTCATTTCGCGCAGTTTAGTTTGAATCTGTTGCTCGATGATCTGCTCGTACTTATCACCTTCGCCCAAACTCTTCATCTCGTCCAGGAAATCTCTACGTTCCTGTATTTCCCTCACCACTGCAAAGCACGAGAGTTAATTTCGGTAAGAAAGCTCTCGGACTCACGTTGATCGAAGCGATTCTCTTCTTCCACTTCCGCCTTTGCTTTCGTCTTAGCCTTGGACGGTCGAGGAGTGGGCTGTACGTCTTTACCAAACGCCATAATATCCTGAAGGTGCCTCTTCGCCCTTTCGCCATCTACGCGCGGCAGTTGAGGGACGAACTTATCTCGGATGTAGGCGCCGGAGTCGGCGATGGTCTGCTGGCAGCGTTTCTTCGAGCTGCCCGGTCGAATTAGTGGCGTCTTCGTCTCTTGCTTTAGAACGAGTTCGGATTTGCTCTGCGGCCAGCTTGATCTTAGCGGGTAGTCTTTCTTGCGTTGGAGCGTTGACAGCTTACTCTCGTTTATTAGCGCTACGTCAAGCGTACTGTAAACAGTAAGATGAGGCATCACCTACCTTTTAAATAGTCGCGAGTTTGAGGGTCGTAATTGACCTTCGGGGGATGAAATAGTCCACCCTGCGGTACCCTTTTACTTGGCCACTCCATTTATAGTGAAACTTTCAAAGTTATTTCATTACAAGTACGCGTTTCCATAACCACCGTTAGTCATTGTATTTAACGTGATGTGTACCTACTATCTCTACTAGTTACGGGTTGATTTGCATATGTACTCCTTTCTCTATTTATAGTTATATTGATTTGTCTTGCTCATCAAAGAGAAATTTAACAATTTGCTTTTGCTTGAAAAAATTAAGAAGTGCGATACTTTAATTGGGTAGAATAGATCGTCGCTTAATGCTATTGGCCAGGTCAAGTTTGTCAAAATTAAAAAGGGAGCGATTAGACGAAATTATAATAAGGGAGACAGTCTCTTGCAAAGTTTGCTGTGTAACCTTCAATTCTCCACTATTGATTTTCCAAAACTAGCGCTACGAGTATGGGAAAAGGACGACGCTATCGGGGCTCATACCATTACAAAGGACGGCAGATCGAACCGCCCGCCCTTATAACTACCTTTGCCGCGACTGCATTACCTACAATGCTTGTCCGTTTTATAACCGATAGTTTACTCACCATGGACGAGAAATAGGTATTTTAGTGAACGATTCATTTTTTTTTTAGCATAATGCAAGCTAGAAACAGTAGTCAGGTGCACAAAATCTGTTTGTCTCTGCAGCAATGGGCATTTTTGTTTTCTGTCATTGTGTTTGTAAGTATTGTGTGTTGTAGTTTCGTTAGTGGTGCACATCTTGCTTATTTCCTTTTTTGTTAGGTGGTAACGGCGGTTTTGACAACATGTGCCGCCTTGGGAAAGATGCACACGCAAGATGTGTGGGAACTGATTAAGGCGGATTTGGAAGAAGAACGGGAGAAAGAATATTATGAGTATGATAAAGGTGCAGGACACACAAATACAAACGAGGCGAAGCTGCAACTATCACAACATTTTGTGTTGAGTAAGTATCCAATTGTATGTATAAATTTGTTCCGTGTGAGTTGAGTACGATGTCCAAAATATTGCTAACTTCATATCGTGCCAAAATAGGCATTCATTCGTTTGCTAATCTCACTCGCTTAGATGGAATCTCATCAATCCCTCTTTGTCTAAATATACATGGGGTGGCGGAAAGTCCTTTTGAACCCACTGCATTGATTCCTGTTTTGCATGAGCATCTCTGTACTAACAGAGGTTAGAATTAATTAATTATATTTAATTTCTAAATAAATTAATACCACGGCTAGCTCAGTAATGAATAAATGTTCAATGACTCTTACCTTCGGTCGGTTCTTTATCTCCACTTATAATCTGAAAATTCAAAGCTGATGCTCTGCTTTAATCACGCTCAAACAAATACTCATATAAACTGAATTGTTTGAATATATTGTTGAAAATAATCTCGTTCTAACTTCAGTTTTAAAAGAATAATTACTTCATATAATTAATACTCTCAGGGCTGGATTTAGCATGGGGCCATGTGGGCCCGGGCCCATAGCGGCAAATTGTCGCCTCGACAAACAACTAAATTTAGGAAATAATTATTCTACAGTACTATCTTGGAAAAATAACATAACCTCTTAATAAATTGAAACTGGAATGTTACGCACACTCTTGCCAACTTAAAAGTAATTATGAAATATGGAGTAACATAACCACGCATTTCGACGAAATTATGTAAACTTTCTATTCAGATTGTGGAAAATTTAGGACTTCTCCCGCAATTTTTTTGTTGAAAACGCTTAACTGTAACCATTGTTATCAATTTCATGAACGTACCTCGGGGGCTTAATAACATCACGTAGCCGTTATAGGTTCTCTGAATTCTCTGAAATAACTATTCAGTGGTTACAGATATTATACTTTGTTTCAATAATAGTTTATACATCTCATAATCAATATAACAAATGTTTTTACTGCTAATTAAATCAATCTGAGCAGATTAGGAGAAAGAAAATCGTATTAACAGTTTTCTGTAATGGGTAAACCAGGTGTCAAATTCTTGACAGAATAGCTTCCTAGCTGAAACCAAAAATTGCCAACATATGTACGCACTTACGGACGGGAAAAATTTATTCTTTAAAAGTTGCTTAAAATGATCTAAAACGTCAATTTTTACGCATGCATTTTGTTTGCTTTTATTAGAGGGACCTACCATCCAAATTTCGTTAAAATTGCTCCATAAATAAGAAAGTTGGATGTTGCACATACTATTTTTTAATTTTGTTAGCTTTTATTTACCATCTAAATTTGATTGTTCCATAAATAAGAAAGTTGCACGTCACGATTTCTTACGCATGCATTTTGTTTGCTTTTATTAGAGGGACCTACCATCCAATTTTCGTTAAAATTGCTCCATAAATAAGAAAGTTGGATGTTGCACATGCGCAACTCGATTTTTTGCGCATGCATTTTGTTTTCTTTTATTAGGAGGACCTACCATCCAAATTTCGTTTTAATTGTTCCATAAATAAGAAAATTGCATTTCTGCGCATGCGCAACACGATTTTTGCGCATGAATTTTGTTTGCTTTTATTAAAGAGACTTACCATAGAAATTTCGTTTAATTAAATTGCTTCAGAAACAAGATCGTTGCGTTTTGCAAATATGCAACACAATTTTTTGACTTTGACAATTTTTTTCTCCGTTTTTTGATAATATAACCCGGCCAAATTTTTTGTAGATTGTACACAGGAAAATAAGGTCTTCCAAATAATAAAATAAAAATGTCTACCCAAAGACGCATGATATGTAGATCTGGCCTTGCCTATAGTGCGATTCACACTGAAAGTTCAGTATTTAAGTCTGGTTATCATTATGGACGTATATTACACCGCCACTCCTGTTTTTACAAAATGCAGAATTCAATTAATATTGTCCCATGGAAAGCTCATTATCTCCTTTGGAAGGGTATTTGAAAAATTGGATAATAGAACGCCTTTTATTACAATCCAATCGGACCTTTAGTACTGCCAGGTAAAACAATTTGGTTACTCGTTGAAAGTGAATCTCGCAAGATGATTGACGCATTGACAATGTATTGGTTCCAATTTTGTTTATTCACGGGAAACATTACCAATGGTTCGCAGTATGAAAATTTCTCTATTACCCTGACAACTTAGGGTTTTAGCAGCTAGGAAACGCACGAATTACTTGTCTTTAAACATTTTACCGGTTGCCGTTTTATACTGTTATTAGCACCTTGTATACACATATTAGGTGCATAAGCTCCCACTGAATGTATAAAGTATCCACGACAATAAATTCGTCGAAAATGGTGGCACAATCTTCGGTTGCGCTGCTAACGATGCACCTATATATTGCGGTTATAACGCTTTCGGTCCTATCTTTTAATTAACACTGCAATTTTACGCGATCAACACCACAACATTCGCCTTGAAAGCTTGGCGGCCAATTTCCTGCCTCGAAGGTGTCGCTAAAAATTCAATGCGCGATCGAAAAAGTGCAGTGCTCGACCTGCATAGGTTCTCTTCGAAGTTTTTGAGTAATAATGCCGCTCTCCCACCCGATTGTTACTTGGGTACACGCTGGATCCCAAATACAAAACGACCCCTACGAAAACCAAGCATTCACATTGTTTTTAGCGCATTTGTTGAATACTTTAATTGTTTGCGTTTTGTCCGTTCATCCGTCCGTCCGGACCCACTTCAGCCGTTTTGAACTACTTATAGGGGAATAGTCCTACAGTCGTGGAATTTTTTGCAAGACTTTGAAAGTGTGCCAAACGGCCATCAAATTTCGCTGTTTTAAGGGGAGGCTCCGCATGAATTATCTTCCTGAGATGCTGTTTGTGAAAGTAAAACGTGCATAACTTTTACATTTGGTCTCAAATTTCGCATACGCGTGTCTTTAGTGGTGCGAAGTTACACTTTTGAGGGGGTAAACACACGTTCTACCCTTCATGGTATTCTAATGAAAAGTGTTAACGAAAGGCACCGTTTCCTACCAACTACCGCCCTTTTCTGTGACCCCTTATCAAAAGAGGAGGTTGGGGGGGGGAGGGAGTAAAACCTTCATGGTTCTCTAATGAAAGGTCTCAACGAAAGGAATAATTCTACTAACCATAGTCCTCCTCCTCGACCCCTGATCGGGATGTAAAGAGCCTCCTCCCCATTTATCATCTACCAAGAAAGTAAACATCGATACCATGCTACTACCTTATAACCCAACCATTTTCTAAGCTAGTTGGGTGACATTTCGACTTTTTTCTGCTTGAACACTCGCTTTTTATCTCAACGCGCTTTATTTTCTCGTTTTTTTTTCCTTTATGAATATAACATTTCCTATACCGGCAAATTTCTAAATTAAACAGAAAATCTTTATCCTAAAGCGACCACCTGTTAAGTACACGTGGCGTGGCCTGTGACAATCCGCGAAGAATAACTACAATCGTTCGCCAAAGCGCCCACATTTCTTTCCTCGCCAATTTCTCCTCTGGCAGACTTTTTCAATGCCCAAACCGTCGTGTATAATTTTGAATATTGTACTCTCCGACACTCCACCTCCTATTGGCAGCATTGGGATTTTCATTCGCCGATATTCATTTGTTCCTCAGTTTTTGCCTCAATCGGTCTTCCTAATCCTGGGTCGTCCCGAATCTATTAATTCGAGCAAGTTTTTACTTGAAAATAAGGTGGGCCGCTAGTACCTGTAACGGCTTAATTAGTGGTGGCAGGGATCGAAAGCCCTACTTGGATAAAATAAATTTGATGCTCTACGGCACTGATAAAAATGTTACTGTACCAAATAAAATTGTTGGTAATGAAATAATTAAATCCACGGCTAGCTCAGTATTAGTGAAACATTTAATGCCTTTATAATTTGAAAATCAAAACTCTGCTCTGGTTTGATCACTCTCAAATAAATACTCATGTAAATTGGCGAAATCGTTCCAATTTGACTTTTACATTGTTCGTGATTTAAAATATTGATGTAATTCCTTCAACAACATAAATTAAAATAGCAAACCTATCTCGTGATCACGTTCCAAATCTAATTACTTATCTAGGTTTTTTACTATTTGTAATTACTCCAACACCTGATACATTTTCCTACTTCAAAGATTGACACACCTCTGGATGCTAAATAAAATTTGACCCACACAAAAGAATTGTATCAAAGAACTTCACAATTAATGAGATAAAATACGTTTTCTTGCTATCGCTTGTTATCGCCAGACATACTTTCGTTCACGTTCGCTATGAAGCGGTACATGTGTAAATTTTCCTATGCTGAACAAAATACAAATTCACAACCAAATTTTTGAAAACGGGTAAGCGACTACCTGTTAGAGATATGTACTCAATCCTTATTGCTTCCTTGTTTGATTTCTTCAAATTAATAAAATGCGTTCGTGATTAAAATCTTCCTTACATAAGCTTTAAATTGGAATAATTGTTTGTAGTTGGAGCTTAAGCGTCTGCCTTGGGCTAGGACACGACCATATAGGGATATGGTATTGGTAAAACATACACACAATAGGGTTTCGAGGTCCCTCACACAACATTATTCAAAGAGCAAATGTTCGCGAGTCATGAAAAATAATCATATTTGGTACTTATGCACAATTGTATTGTATTGTATCGTATGGGTGGCACTCCCTAGGTCTGTGTGACCTAACGACAGTCGCGGTATGACTGCTGGGACCGCCAGCTTTACATGTCCTCCGAAACATTGTAGTCAGCAGATGCTCTGTACCAGTAAAAACTGGAAAGTTGTGGGATTCGAACTCCCAAATTGTGAAGTTAGAGTCCGGGTCTTAAACCGTTACAATAAGATAGTAATAATTAAAAGTTCGTAAGCTATAATTTAGAAAATATTAACTCAAGTTCATTTGATATTGCAGTATATCTGGAGAGGTCATGCAACTCCAGTAGTAGCGTTTTACTCCCCTTGGAAAGAGTAATAAGCAAAACAAAATTCTATGAAAATATTTCAAATTGATTACATTTGTTTTGATTAAACAATGAAACCAAACAAATTCTTACAATCAATATAATTGAACTCAAAAAACATCCCTACTAGCCAGATAATTAAATTTATTCTAGCAAACAATGTAACCTGTAATTCTAAACAAGCCAATGAAATTCATCAGATAAACGTTTACCTACTAAGGCGCACGACAATACACACGATTCCGTTCCTACTACTGATAATTCACATAAAACAGAAATAATACAGATATAATTATGAGGAATATGACTCTAAAGAACCCATCAAACGTTTTGATTTTCATATGGATGATTTAAGTCCTTATACAGGGTGATTCCTATAGTACCTGCCACCGTTTGGGATCGTGTAGGTGGTGCGTAGGGGAGTATTTTGATATAGGACACTTGGGGTCGGAAATCTAAAATAAGGGTGCCAGAGCCAAATTTACCTTCTGGAATTTCGCTCCTGTAGGTAGGCAACCCAACCGGCCGGCGGTGCACACGGAGCGATCTCAGGCGGCGATGTGTGGCTGACACTTGATCAGAATTTTGTTTAAACCCACGAAATCCCGTCTGCAACGACGCGTATCAAGTGAATAAACACTATGGCACGTTTTACTAACACGGAATACGCGGACATGCACTTCATGTATGGATTGGCAAATGGTAACGCACGAGCTGCACGACGAGCGTACGCTGAGCGGTATCCAAACCGTCAGTTACCCTGCAGACAGGTCTTTCAAGAAGTTCACTTCCGACTGTGCGAGACAGGGCAATTGCAGGTAAGCTGACGGAGGCTTAACTTTACACACAGATTCGTGATGCACATCGATACTTTGGTCATTTAAGCACCCATTTCGAAAAGTTTGTTTGTTTACACCGACCTCCTCCTATTTCGCAGCCCACTAGCGCCCGTGTGCACCGCCGGCCGGTTGGGTTGCCTACCTACAGGCGCGAAATTCCAGAAGGTAAATTTGGCTCTGGCACCCTTATTTTAGATTTCCGCCCCCAAGTGTCCTATATCAAAATACTCCCCTACGCACCACCTACACGCTCCCAAACGGTGGCAGGTACTATAGGAATCACCCTGTATATAAACAAACGCAAGCATTTAAAAACAAATTGCAGGTAAAGGAAAAACAAAACATTGCAATTTTTAAAATTTTAACTGCAATGTAGAGAGTAAGAGGTAATTAATTTTAAATTGAGCATAATTAACGCCCTTTACATGAATTCCCTAGAAAGAAAAGTAGGAAATTTATATTACCACGTGGCATGAAAACCGCTGTTTTAATGAAGATTGTGCACTTTCCAGCAAAATCCCACAGTTGCATGTCTTATAGAAGTTTAAAACTGGCATTTTTATTTTTTAGTGATCATATGGATTTTGTACATCTGCACCTGGATAGGCTGCCTAAATTTATCGGCCTCAATTCTAATGGTTTACGGCATCGCGACAAAGAATGCAATGTACATCATTCCATGGATTCTTATCAGCGGCACGACCTACATGCTATCAATTTCCACAATTCTCGTAGCCTATTTAGAAATACTGCCAGGAATTTACATAAGCTTTAACACGCTAGGTAAGTTTCCACAAAGGGCGAACGATGCCAAATGTGCAATTTTTACAGTGATTTCGTTGACGTCCTCCACGATCTTTATTGCGATTTGGTATACGATACTGTCGTACTACACGACCCTAACTACGCACACGTGCAGGTCACGATATCCCGTATACTCCTCGACGATCATCCAGGCTTACGGAGGTTACATGCACACGGTCGCGCCGTCTTCAAATAGTGAGAAAAAGGAGATAGTGTAAAAGCTTTGAGATTGTAAAGAAATTCTATTTTGGAAATGCTTTAATTCTTCACAGACACACACTTATTATAAAATACACGTTTAGAGATTGAGGCTTGATCACAAAGGTTTGTTTTTGTACAATCTATCTGTTGGGTGGTTTCAAATTATAGATGTAAAAAATAACTCTATGCAATAAAATGCCTTAAAATCTATATTGAAATTTTATGACAGTGTAGCGGATGATAATTAATGTTTAGGTGCCTATAACTATATCCTATGCTTCGAGAAAGCAAATCTTTTGTTAGTGACCGGAAAGTATTGTAGCGAATTTTCTAGAGCGCCATCAAGGCGCCATCTTGGCGCAATCAAGTCGATAAAGGATTAGTCGCCGGCGATAAAAAATGAAAACTCATGTGATGCATTCTTTCCTGGAAATATGATATACTGATTCAATAATTCTCTAGCACAGGCGTGGGCAACCCACGGCCCGCCGATCAGTTTTGTCCGGCCCGCTAATATAATTCATAGTTAATACTTCATAGGGCCCACAAGTTTCAAATTCTAATTTATTAATTAATTAATATGATTATGTTACACGTGCAGCATCTAGTGGACGCGATCCGAAGCTTCCAAGACGTTTGAAAGCCTAGTTAAAGATGCATTTATTGTTTCAGAGATATCGCCAGGCATTTTCCAGAATTTTCCTCGCGATAATACCGGGTGGGGCAATACAACGACACGTGATTTAGGGATTAAGAATCTTAAGAGCATAAATGAAAATTTGGATACAAACTGAATATGGGGATTTATTATCCACATCTGGCAAATTTTGTTTGCAAAATCGTGTCAATTTTCAGGAGTACTTATTGATTTTTTTTTAAATAATTTTTGCGAAAGCAAAAAATAGATGAAGACCAAAAAGAAATAGATACTTAGATATTGATTTCTTTAAACATACTTTTTATTTGGATTTTCAAGTGTGGCCCGTGGCGCATATAAAAAATTTTATTTTGGCCCCTTGGAAAAAAAGGTTGCCCACGCCTGCCTAGCAGTTAAAGAAAATGGACAAGAGTTGGAAGAGAAACGATTGAAGGATGCATGAAGGAGGAGAAAATGTGAAACAGGAGTGAAAGAGACGTACAGTGAATAAGCGCATTTGTTAATTTGCATTGAGTGAGCATGCTCGCTGAAAACTTGAGCGACGCAAATTAATTCGTTTTACAATTATTTTCAAACGAAATAACATATTCTACGCATGCATTACCTGATTCAAGCCGCACCGAAGTTGATTCACTGTTATCTCTGAAGTAATTAATCCATTATCAACAAGGACGCACCTCGACATCAGGAACACTGAAGTTGTATAAATCCAGTAAGGTGATGTCTTCAATCTGGGCACATCTATCAACATATTTCGACCATTGTCGTATTCCCTTCTACTTGATATACCACAAATACGTGCCTTCACCTAGGGGAATCCTGAATTATGTGTATTGACAACGACGCGACACTGAAGTATGGAAGGAAGGGATAATAGTGCCGATCTTCAAATGAAGGAACAAAGATTGTGTGGGAAATTATTGGAGAATTGCTATAATGACAACGACTTATGGAATCTGTGCAATGATATACCTACTGAACGAAAGATTAGAGAGAGAAATGAAAGAGAAGAAGATGTTGGAGGAACCACAAATGGGGTTCAGAAAAGCGAGGGGAACGATGGACTGCATATATGTATTACATGCAGAAATGCAGTGGAGATGGAATTGGAAAAAAAGGGCGGAAAGGTGTTCGCGTTTTTCATGGACTTCAAGACAGCGTTAGGCAGAGAGGAAAGGAAAGAAGTATGGAAGATGGGAAAATTGACAAAACGTATAGGACAGAATCAAGGAACTATATGGAGAGAAGCGATTGAAGGTAAGAATAGAAGGGAAAGAGCCTGAAGTGTTTTGCTAGTGTGAAGCACTAAGACAAGGATGCCCAACCTTATTTAATTTCTACTTAGAAGACATGAAACAAGTATGAAGACATGGCTTAGGGGGAGGGGTAGTAGTGTGAAGAAGAACATGGTCTCTGGTATAAGGGGACGACGCAGTGACCAAGACAACAGAGGTAACACAGATGAATGAAATGATGGAAAGAATGAAAAGGTATTGAGAAAAGAGGAGAGGAAAAATCGAAGATTTAAGTGGGGATGGGGGGGGGGGGGAAAAGGAAAGAATAGAAGAGGTAAAGGAAATTAAATATTTAGAGTAGGTACGAAATGCAAATATGCAAAGAAACAATGGGGCAAACACGAATTAAGGAATACTTAATTGTACCGGGTGACCTAATAAGACTGTTCCTCGGCCATATCCCGAGAACCGTTCGTCATATGACAGGGGTAAAAAAAATTATTGGGTAAATCGATCATGAAGAATCGCTGGAAAATATTTTCAAGTTCTAAAAATGACCACCAGAGGGCGTAACTGCCATCTTAAATTTTAAAATTGCATTTTCTTTAAATTTCGCATAATAAACTTAAAAAGAGAACCAGTTTATCTATCATTTTCTTAAAAACAAAAACTCAGTTATTTCAAAAACAAAGATGGTGCGGGGCGTTCAATTGTTTTTGCAATAACCTGTTTTAACTTCTTAACCTTTTTAGGATTTTTGATCATAGTGTCAAAACTAGCCCCCTGGCGGAGAAAGATTCAAGTACATTTAATATATTTTGGTTGATTCTTGCTCTTTTCAACGATACCCAATTTTTTACAATCGGTCAAACGGTTAAGAAGTTAAAGCAGTTTATTGCAAAAACAATTGAACGCCCCACACCATCTTTGTTTTTGGCAAACTGAGTTTGTGTTTTTATGAAAATGATAGATAAACTGGTTCTCTTTCAAAATGTAAAAAAAATCTTTGTAGTTTATTACGCGAAATTAAAAAAAAATGCAATTTTAAAATTGTAGATGGCAGTTACGCCCTCTGGTGGTCATTTTTAGAACTTGAAAACATTTTCCAGCGATTCTTCATAACCGATTTACCCAATAATTTTTTTACCCCTAAGTCATACGGCGAACGGTTCCTGAGATATGGCCGAGGAACAGTCTTATTGGGTCACCCGGTATATTAGATGAAAAAACGGAAAAGATAAAAATAGCGTTGCGTTGCGGCGCAGGACAGCAAGATTCGAGAAAAGGGGCGATAGAGAAAGTAATTGGTGAAAGAATGTTTGACAACGAGAATGAACGCAAAAGAAATGTGGGAAGAAGCAAGAGGAAAATATTACGAAAGAAATCGATGCGGACAAGCTGAGGTCGAATGGAGGAGAAAAGATGGAAAATGAGCTGGAAGAAAAGGAGTTGGACGCACTAGTACAACAACAGAGGGCGAAGATAGCAAAGGGTTTTACTTCAGTTCGTAAATATTTTACCAAGCTGGTGTTTAATAAAGATTGACCGATTGATTGAAATACAGGGTATAACCAAAAATTAAACCTATGTTACAGATGTGAAAAACCGTGAATGATAAGTACTACTGTGATAACAAGGCATAATCTTAGTATGCGAAATTTTTTTTATCACCCTACAGATGGTCAGATGGTTGGTTTTCTAATTGTTACTAAAAATGCAAAATTATGGCTTTTATTTTAAATGATAGACTAACACTGGCAGGTTTTTCTTTGTGAAATATTTCCTAATATTTAAAATGTATTTGTTAGTCATTATTTTTGTGTAAAACGAATGCGTAAATGTTAATGGGTTTGGATAAGACAATAAATAATAGAATTGTGTTTACTTTGATTAGGCTTAATTTCATAAAATAGTGGGTTTTTAAAAATAAAGGTGATGCGATGTTATAAATCCTACGGGAGAAAATTTGGTGGAGGACGAAGGTCGACCTACTATGTTCAAAGACTTATTGACCACGTTAGAACGAGTGCACAACGGACTTGGTAATTATGTTACTTATGTGAATCTAATAATCTAACGTTTGTTATTGTGTTATTAAACTACTATCTTTATGAAACTGAAATACAATACCATTGAAATGTGCATTGAAACAGCGGTTAAGTTGATTAGAGTGTGCAAATGATCGCGACAGGGACATAACATGAGGGCTGATAAACCACGATTAATGGGAAATCTAAAGCGAATAGGTGGATTTGGTTGAAAATTTTAGAAACAGTATCAGATAAATATTTAAACTCAGCAGCGAATAAGTATTAAAAATAACAATTACTTACCATACATAAACAAACATAATAGCAATTATCTCCGTGTATATCTGGACACGGAATCACGAGGACATGAATTTATGGAAATAAAGGATTACAATAATTTATTCTTTTCACACAATACACTCCTATACGTAATATTCAAAGTACTAAAGTAGTCTGTTTAAAAATAGGTACCTACCTACGTATTGATGCTCAGTATGTGTTGGTAAGTAGCAGTATGACATTATTATTTGACATTGTCACTCAATTGTAAGTACCTATTTAGTAAACACTTTCCTTAATTAAAATATCAATTGCTTTATTTCAATATATGCTATACTATTGGTTAGGTAATCTTAATATTGATATAAATCTATAAGAAGAAGACAACGTTCTGCAGAATTTTAAATATTCTGTGTTAACGGTGCGTCTTCGAGACCCAACTTTTGTTGAAAGTAAATAAATAATAAACTTTTCATATTTCGCAAATATAATAATTAATGTGGGAATAAGGACTTTACAACCAGTAGCTGTGAGCCTACCTATTCTGAAAATAAATTGTATACTAAACGAACATGGTTACAGAAAGCAAGTAGGTACATTAAACGAACGAAATTGCCTCGGGAGGGTTTTTTTGCTATGAAATATTTCAAAACCAATTGCACTGGTAACCTGTTTGTATGCCATATATAAACCAATAAATTGCGCTAATTGTTATCATAGAGACAAATCAAAACCAATGTAACAGCTTTCGGTATATATGCCAACTAGTATCTTTTTTACTCAATTCAGCATGGATGTCGGAACTGTCACTAAACACAATTTGATTGATTATGTAGCAAACAGAAAGTTTCTACAAAAATACGGACCGCCGATAACTAATCTTTTATGACGACTCGATGGCGGCTGCTGGCGCCCCGATGTCTGGGACACTCCTCGCTATGGTACGAAAAGGAAGATTAGGCATTTTCTTGGTGTATAGCTCCATAGTTAATTATTGGGATAATTGATATAGCGAAATAAGTAGTGAAATAGCCTTCATCTTCACACCTATGCGTCAGTTTTTGAAATAGTATAAGTTAAAAATTGCAAAGTAAAGTACAGCATACTATACAAGTCTTAATTATTCCTAAAAACATAAAAATTCAAAAGCATGCTACCTCAAACCACACGCTCTACTAAATACCCCAAACTCTATGACTGAGAAACGAATAAGTGAACTCTTAAATCTCACCTAATGGTTCAAACTCAACAACTTAACTTAACGCTATTACTCAAACTCACAACGTAAAACTCAAAACCCTCAATACCAATTGAAGTGATATTTAATTTCTCAAGGCAAGACTCCAACTCAAAATATCTATAAACTCTCAAAGTTCTAATATAAAACCTATTCGAATGTAGCGTGGTAGATTGAAATTTTAAAGCTCAAATTCTTCATGGCTCAAACTGAAAAACGGACACCTCCATTCAAAAAAACTGATACTAAAATGTCTACCTCATAAACGTTAAACCTCAAAACTTAGACTCAAAAAACTTACAATTTAAAACCCTTAACTCAAAATCTACCTCATAAACCTCAAAACCAACCTCTCAAATTTTAAACCCAACATAACAAGTTAAAGCTGAAACTCATAAACTCAATATTTCACTTAAAGTCAAAATCTCCATTCGCACTCAAAATTCAAAAACATAAGCTCAAACTGAACAAACACCTCAAATTAAAGAAGTGAACATATGACTCTAACTCAAACACGAAATGCAAACTCAAAGAAAAAAATTCAAAATTAAAATATTCAGTTAAATATGTAACTCAAAATTAACGTGAAGATAAAAAAGAGTTAACGGATTTGTCTTAATTTCATAAGGCAGAAAATAGTCCGAAAAGCTTCGATAATTTTAACAAACGGACTCATGCCGCATTTATCGATTTAATATGTAAGAAAAAGATATCAAAAACGATTTAAAAGTCGCAGACAGCAAACAGAGAGTTCGCCAAAGGCTCATTTTATTCACCTAATGAACATTATCGTACTAAAAATAACAGGATGCATGCAGTTTGCATTGGCCAGAAGGTATTTTCAAAAATATCACAAATAGCCCACTCTAATATATAGATCTGCTATGTCAATATTTGAATTTAAAATTGTTTTTTTAGTAAAAAAGGAACCAACACGTAATCTGGTCGTACCGGCCGTCTGAATTCAGAAGGGCGCGTTCTTCAAATCTGTAACAAATAACAACAAAGAAAAGAAATAAAAGGGGTGGTAAATGGCGCTGCACATAAAATATTGCGGAATAGCAATGCTAACATTTGACACGCAGAGAATCGTATATTAAACTATAATTAATACTCAAAAAGAATCAATGATTTGAATGACCCTGGCACAAATAGCTACATTTCTATTCAATAGCAGCGAAATCTAATTAATTCAAAATGTAAACAAGCTAATATAAGCAAATTCTTCGGAGTAAACAAACAACGTAACCAAAAAAATTGTAGATATCGGCTTCGGACAAAGCCTCGGTAATAATATCGGTATAACACGGCTAATCGGAAGAATACAATGTAATTAAGTTAAACAGAAATGAATCTTCTTAGCAATCTGAAAGTAACGTAAACAAAATGTGATCTCGATAAAGATATTCTTCAACAACGACACAGGTAGTGTAAGTAACATCAGAGATATCGAAACAATTTACACGAGTAATGTTTTCCAAACAGTATTAAAGTAGAATTTTCCCAGCCGGTAATGTAGAAACTCATCTATGCATGACGCGCCAAAGCCAATCCTTAATAAGATGGAAGATCCAAATAAAAATTCACCACGTACGGTGTAGGTAATGTTCAGGCAGATACAACATAAAAGGTAATCGAAATGAAACTTAAGAAAAATCTGTGAGAAAAGGTTGAGGGAAGGTTAAACTTGAGGGTTGAGTATTGAGTGAAGGTAAAGCCCTAAAAAAACATACGTAATAAGAAAAAATGCCGCAGACGTCAAGAAGAGAAAGAGAAAAACCGCTCCAAAGATAAATATGGTAAATTCCAAACACTAAGCCTTTTTCAGGTAGACGCGAATCCAGAAAAGTAATGGCGTGCGCGTACCAAAAGAAAGCATTTGCATCTAACCAGCGAAAGTAGAACCTTTACTGAAGGGGAAGAAGTACAACTGCGCGAGCAAAGTGAAATGTAAGCAGAAGAGATAGCAGTAAGTACAGAAAGGTACAAAGCGTGAATCTAGCAACAAGACAAAGAAGTAAATAAAAGATCTCTCTAAAAGTAACGAGTGTATAATAATAATTTATCATATTGCTCAATTCAAGGAAATTTCAACAGAACGTTAACAGATTTTCTCAAGCATATAGAACTTAAAATGCATTCTTAGCAAGATTTCAGGGGATTTTCGGAAATGTTGGAGAAAGACATTCATCATTATTAAAAAAGTAAGAAGTGGCCAAGAAGTGGAGAAATAAGTTCAAAACCTAAAAAGCTGCTATTGCTAAGTCTTGAAAACTCTTGAGGTTTGTTGGCGACTTTTAAAACCTCTTGAAGGTCGGGTCGATAAAAATCACTAGAAGCCTTTTGGAAGTTAGTGAACATTCTTGAAGGTTTTTAAGTAGCTTTAATGATGGGTCTTCGAATACCTTCATCCACTTCACGCCCAATGTTACAGGAGCGTGTAAAAATTCCTCTTACTTGAGACACGATTTACTAAAGTGTGTAGTACCATTGTTTAATTTAAACAATAGTAGTGCTAAACTCCTCAACATTTTAAAAATTAACGTAGGTAGGTACCAATATTTTATCAATTCGATAAGATAATGAAAAGATATTCATGAAGTTGAATGTTTTTGGGTTGTGGTTAACCGATTATTGCTTACGTTAGAGATTCAAAGGTCGCTTTACACATTATCAGTTTTACAAGTCATTACCTTCTTCGATTATGTGTGTGTAGCAACTTTGTGAGATCGGTTTTCATTTCAATAATCACGACCAACATAAATCAAGGTAAGTACCTACATTTTTTTTCCATACTTACTAATATTGATTAGATTTTTGGGCATTTTGTAAGACGGTAGGTGCCTACTGAAAATATTCATACAGAAGTACATAATTTAATTATATGTTAGAAACGATTACCCAGTTTTCATTGTCAATTATACCTACTCATTGAATATTTTACTAGGTGTCATTTTTAATAGAGGAACTTTAGTAGGTTCCAAATTTTTTTACAAGTCAACTTCAATTTGATCGAATATTGTTACATTCTTCATAAATTGCATGGTGCAGACTATGACCCGAGAAGATAGCGTTAACTCGACCACAACCATAGAGTAAATACACCACAACTCAAAAGTCAAACGAAGTTCAAATTAAACGCCCTTGGCTTCCACAGTCATGACTACTTTCTTCCACTTTTCCGGATCCATGGTTCCTTTAATTTCTCTGTGATTGATAAAATCCGATTCCAATCAACCTCTATACTCTACCACTGGAAATCACTGCCCAGTCTGGTCGATATTAAAACCCAAAAATGTACCAAACGGTTGAATATATTAAATCAAAAATAATTTCTTCTTCTTCTTCTACATATACCAAATTACTTACCGTCTCTTTAATTAAGTATTTATAGTATCGGGAAAAAAATTAATAGGGATTCTATGGATTCGGCTGCATTGAAAAAAGTAATTCTGATCACTTTCACAGTTAATGTTTTATCAGGAGTATGACATTGGCATAACCATGTTGAAAATTTCACTTTTTAAGGCGCTAGTATAATGTTGTACTTAAGTGGGAGAAGCTTCAAAAACTGAAATTTAATTGAAATAAAATTTTAACTCGTCAGAACGAATAACTCCCCGTTAAGTCCTACAGGAAATTAATAACAATTCCTACGATTTATTACGGTTTATGGATAACAAATCAGAAATTATAGTACCTTCTAATCTTTCTTATGACTTCAATGTTTTGTCGACCTCAATGCAGTTCGTCAACTTGAAAATTCCCCAGAGCAAGGTTCGTATTGGTTTGTGCATGTAACGGTAGTTACATTTCTAATGCTGGTGCCTATTTCGTACGATAAATTTTCTGGTGAATTGGTTAGGAAAATTATTTTTATTTCTTCTACACCTGAAAATTCAAAATA